GTAAAATAAAGTACTGTTGCACTCATGCTCTGGTTCAGCCTCTCATTGCTCAAACTTAACACTGGCGACGAGGATGGGATGGCTACCAGAAGCACCTTGCAACCGCTGAGTCACTAGCCACCGATCTACAGCCCAGAGAGAGCGATCGGCTGGCAACAAGGGAAACGCTGATCCGCAGCCAGAGAGAGCGGTCAGCTAACGAAACGAGCGATCAAAAAGAGCAAACGCAGATCCGCAGCCAGAGAAAGCGGTCTGAGTCAAATAGTTAGAAGCGTCTGTAGCCGCTTGTTAGCCTCGCTACGGGGAAAGTGAAGCGCTGCGAGCCGCAGCCGCTCTGCATTTGGCGCGAAATTCAAACGGGTGTCATTTGAATTTCGAGCCAGTAGGAATCACAGCACAGCGCTGTAGAGAGTCACTAACGCCCACTTTTTTTGGCGCGAATCAAGACACCTCCAACGGCTAGCAGCCAACGTGGTAATCCAGAGAGAGAGAAAGAGAGGGTAGCAAAAAACCTCTCCAGAGCTGATATCACTAGTAACTCACGAGCGTTCGTAGTCCCAGAGAGATTTCTCCCGCAGGTAGCCCAGCCGTTCCAGCACCATGGGGTCCAATCCAGTATTCCCGGCGTTTAAACCAGATGAAGAGAAGTGGGAATCGTATAAGAACCGTTTCAATCATTACATCGATGCGGTCGGCCTGTCGGATGCGGGAGAGCATCGGAAAAAATCCTATTTCCTAATTTACTGCGGAGCCACCGTTTACGATACCGCTGCAGCACTCGTGGCGCCGAGAGAATTAAAAAACGTGCCGTGGTCCGAGTTGCTTGAGATCCTCACAAACCACTACGCTCCCAGGCCTTCACAAATCGCCAGGAGGTTCACGTTCCGAATGAGGAAGCAATCAAGTAAGGAGACCATCAACCAATACATGGCCACCCTCAGAACAGCAGCCCTGCACTGCGGGTTTGGAACATACCTGGAGGACATGCTCCTCGATCAATTGGTTTGTGGGGTCAAGGATCTCAACCTACAGAGGCGACTGCTAGCTAAAAAAGACCTCAACCTCGCGCAAGCGGTAGAGGAGGCCCTAGCAGCCGAGCTAGCAACAAACTCAGCCACCGAAATTCAGGGCCCAAGCGCCAAGCTAGCAGCGTTCCCAGTCCATTCCGAAGAGGTGGAAGCGGAGGAAGGCCACAACGATGAGAACGAGGTCCATCGCCTCACCAATGACAGACGGTCGCAGGTAGGGGCCAAACAAGAATACACCGGTCCACCCAAGCACATCACCCTGTGCCTAGCCTGTGGGGGATCACATCAAAGGGCCACCTGCAAGTTTAAAGGAGCCGTTTGCAACAACTGCCATAAGAGGGGGCACATTGCGAGAGTCTGCCAAGCCCCCCAAAGCGCTGCACAAAGACCCCCGTCCTCGCACTCGGGACCACAGAGGCAAGTATTAAACTGTCGCACGCACCGCCTTGCCAGGCGTACTTGCCACTCTGTTAGTAAAATTTCTCTCTCCGTTTCCCTAGAAGGTAAACCGTGCCACATGGAGGTTGACACAGGGTCAGCGCTCTCAATAATCTCGTGGAACACCCTCAAGAGACTCCACCCCAGCCTATCTACTACCCGGCTTCAGAGATGCCAGTTCGGTCTGAAGGACTACCAGGGGAAGGCCATTCCCGTGATCGGCAGAGGCAAGTTCTTTGTCAGTTTTAGAGCTTTTAAAGGCCACCTACCTCTAGTGGTAGTTAACGGCAATCTACCCACCTTATTGGGGCTCGATTGGTTTCCCCACCTCGGCCTAGGGTTAACAGGAGTCCATGCTGTCTCAACCTCAGACACTGACTCCTTATTCGCTGACTACGCAGATGTGTTCAGCGAGGAGCTGGGGTGTTATAATGGAACCCCCATCTCGTTCACCGTTGACCCCCAGGCAGTCCCAATCAGATTAAAACCACGTAGAGTTCCATTTGCTATTCGACCAAAACTAGACGCTGAATTGGATAAACTACTAAAACAAGGAGTCATTGAGCCAACAGATTTCGCCAAGTGGGAGACGCCCATTGTCACACCCCTCAAAAAAGATGGTAGCCTGAGAATTTGCTCGGACTACAAGACAACAATCAATAAATATTTACAAGTTAGCGCCTACCCCGTGCCCGTCATTCAGCACTTATTGCACACATTCGAACCGGGCAGTATTTTTGCTAAATTGGACATGTCTCAAGCATATCAACAGTTCCCTGTTGATAACCAAACAGCGGAACTTCAGACCATCGTCACTCACAGGGGTGCCTTCCGATGCAAGCGTCTCCAATTTGGCGTAAGTGTTGCCCCGGGTATTTTTCAATCCCTCATGGAGCGGATTTTACAGGGCCTCCCTGGTGTAGTACCCTACTTCGACGACATCTTGGTCTCGGCCAGGGACAGACCCCAACTCTTCCAGAGAGTGCGAGCAGTGTTAGAGAGGTTCAGACAGCATGGCCTCAAGTTAAAAAAAGAAAAATGCGCCATTGCCACTAGACAGGTGGACTTTCTGGGTTATAAAATTGACGCCTCTGGCATTCACCCCCTGGAGTCCAAGGTCAGGGCGATCCACGAAGCTCCCACACCGACCTCCAAAACGGAGCTACAAGCTTTCTTGGGACTCCTAAACTTTTATGCATCCTTTTTGCCCCATAAAGCCTCAGTAGCCGAACCCCTACACAGATTACTAGACAAAAAGTCACCGTGGCACTGGGGGCACAAAGAAGACCAGGCGTTTAACGCCGTCAAATCACTACTTACGTCAGAGGCAGTGCTCATCCAATTCGACCCCAACCTTCCTTTAGTACTGGCAGCAGACGCATCCCCTTTTGGAATTGGGGCGGTCCTTAGTCACCGACTCGCCAATGGTGCCGAGGCCCCCATCGCCTTTTTCTCCAGGACGCTCTCGGCCACGGAGCGAAATTACAGCCAAATAGACAAGGAAGCCCTAGCAGCTGTTGCAGCCGTGAAAAAGTTTCACGAATTCCTTTTTGGCCACTTCTTCGAACTGGTCACCGACCATAAGCCCCTCCTGGGCCTACTGGCCGGCGACAAACAGACACCTCAAGTCCTCTCCCCTCGGATGACAAGGTGGACGCTTTTCCTAGCGGCCTACTCATACAAACTTATCCACCGCCCGGGCAAAACTCTATCCCACGCTGACGCACTCAGTCGCTGCCCCTTACCCGCTCCGGCTGAAGACCCAGCTCCTGTCAATGCCATTTTTGAAATCACCCAGTTGGACCTGCCCATCACCGCCCTTGACATCGCCGCCAAAACCAAGGCAGACCAAACGCTCGCCCAGGTGCTCGACTGGGTGAGGAGGGGGTGGCCGGGAGGCAATGTTGATAACAAATTCGCACCCTTTAAGACTCGCATGCAGGAGCTGTCCAGTTTGCAGGGTTGTCTACTGTGGGGCACTCGAGTGATCATTCCGACCTCGCTGCGTACCCGAGTCCTGGAGGCGTTGCACGAGGGACACCCCGGCATTGTGAGAATGAAGGCGTTGGCACGCAGCTACGTGTGGTGGCCGGGTCTAGACGAGGACATTGTCAATTGGGTAAGTTCCTGCAGCATTTGCCAGGAATCCCGTCCTGCTCCCCCCATCGCCACCCCTACCAGATGGGAGAGCGCCAGCGCCCCTTGGTCTAGAATCCATATCGATCTGGCCGGCCCCGTGCATGGAAAGATGTTCCTAGTGGTCGTGGACGCTTATTCCAAGTGGATAGACGTGGCGCAGCTATCCACGACCACCACACTAGCAATCACCAACGTGTTAACGCGCCTGTTCGTTACCCATGGACTACCCGACTCCTTGGTCTCCGATAATGGCCCACAGTTCGCATCAGTAGAATTCAGCCGTTTTGCAGCCAACCTAGGCATTCGCCACATTTTCACAGCCCCATTTCACCCTGCGAGTAATGGGTTGGCTGAAAGGGCCGTCAGGACCACCAAAGAGGCCCTCGCTAGGTTTGGCAGAGATGACTGGCACCACAAACTCTCACGGTTCCTGATGAGCCAGCACTCAACCCCCTGTGCAGTCACCAATAAGTCCCCAGCGGAACTTCTGATGGGCCGGCGCCTGAGGACTGTATTAGATAGACTGCACCCACAATACTGCCCTGACTCTCCCCTCGCTTCCACTTCGGGGGTTAGACATTTTATGTTACAGGAGCCGATATTCGCAAGGAATTTCGCTGGGGACCCACTTTGGATTCCGGGCGAGGTCATCGCCGTCACCGGGCCGAGATCATATAGAGTCAGGCTGGAGGATGGTCGCGTCTGGAGGAGACACATAGACCAACTCAGAAGGCGCCTCAGCAACCTCGCAAACAAGAATCCAGAGTCTCCAGTCGAAGGGGAACCGTCCCATCCGCCACACAGCCACACCGCACCCAGTGACCAGTCTGCGCCAGCGGTCGTTCCGGTCAGCCCAAACTCGGACAACAGCGCCCAGAGAGTTGATCAACCGGATCCAACCCACGAGAGTTTGACTCCAGAAACCAACCCGGTGGTTTCCGAGGATGCCCAGTCCAGAGAGAGTGTTGGCGACACTATGCCAGCTCAACCGTCACAGACTGATACCGAACAGTCAGACAATGTTCCCGAGTTGCGCCGCTCCGGGCGCCAACACAAACCCCCCATCTACCTCAAGGACTATGCGTGTTCGCATCTGGGGGGAAGGGGTGTTATGTCCTGAGGACTCAAGGAGTTCTCACTCAGGTCCACTCACTTTGTGTGGGCGTTATTCCCCCATTCCCATTGGTCAGTTCTCCCCAGCAGCCAGCTATAAAAGCAGGCTGCGAGGTCCAACTGGCTGCTGATTGCTGCGAGCCAGTTCCAGGCTTGGCAAGCACGGTCAGCCCTTTATTTGTAAAATAAAGTACTGTTGCACTCATGCTCTGGTTCAGCCTCTCATTGCTCAAACTTAACAATTCATTAGACAATTACTGAAAAATTTGGCAAAGGTCTCACTCAGGTAACAACTTCACAGTTGCAATTGTCAGGTCATGAAATATTTTAACAGTTTTATTAACTTTTGTAATGGATTCCAAATCAGGTATAAAGCGGCAACCATATAAGTGAAGTATTTGCAGTCTGTTGGAATGAAAAAAGAATATCAGTAAAATAATAGAACCATAGTTGCCAAATTATCACAATTATTCCACAACCACTGTTATGTTTCTTTATAATAATTCAGATGTTTCTTTACTGTAAAATATATTGCAGAGTATGAATACTGCAACATATATAATTCATAAAATACTGCTAGAATTTGAAGCAAATGGGAGTCACTGGGTGTGACTCTGGGTGTGTTTCTGTAAGTAAACTGAACCTGACGTTTTAATTTTGCTCTTATTCCTAGGAAACAGCAATGTGACATAAATAATAAATAGTGAGGTTGGTATTACAATATATCTAAAGAATGTATTAAACAAAGAAGTTTTAAGTGATCAGTCATTTATCTGAAAAGAAATTAAAGGTTATTTCACTAAAACTATTAAATAAAACAAACAATAGAAGATATTGGAAGCAAATTGCTCCAGATTTAATTATAGCACTTCATACTTGATTTATGTACACTAAATTGCATCTGAGCATACACTGGTTCTTAACATAAGTGTGAAAACACAGATAATTATTCTTTAGAAAATTAAGCTCTGCTTTAGCTTAAAAGTAATAATGTCTTCAAATCACTTGCAAAACAACACAATAAATATCATAAAGTTCTACCTTTATAAATATCCTTAAGTTACAGGAGTTGAGCAGTCCAATTTTTAGACTTATACATTATACAGGCCACAATCTCTTTCCTACCTTTTATTACACATTTTATCAATCTGGCTAACTTCCTGAAATGTGGACCAGTTCCAAGAATTACTGTATCAGCAATGGAGAATGAAACCTCTCTACATGTTTATCCACAAAATATCCCTGGCATTATTTCTGCTGCCCTTTACCTTATTACTGGTAGCATAAATGTTTGCTTTACTCCGTACTATAGCCAGACTGTACTATATTTCTCACATCTGTAAGTTTATGTTAAGATATATTGGTTGTTTCATTCCCCCTATTTTGAGCAATATTTTATAAATGAATCAATTACAGTTAGATTTCTCATCAATTCTAAAGGGATATGCAGCAATAAAAGCACCATCTTACTAACAAAAGAATCATAACCACACCCTTTGAATATTAATTTAGTGTAACTTGAGATATAAAAATATAGGTCTATAGTTAGTATAGTTGGTGACATCTACTGAAAACTTAAAGCTGTTTACCTAACAGATTTACATTGTCTGGAAATACAAATGTTTTTCTCTTATAGCACTGGTTTGGCTAAGGATAAAGATTAAAGCACTGAATCAATGCTTGAACAGGAAGCAGGTTCCAGTCTCTCTCTTTTTGAAATGTTAATTTTTTCCAAAGCTAATAGGAAGCTTGTGCAGGATAAAGTCCATCTCAAGAAAAATCTTTATTGAAAAAATGCTTGTAATCCAAATATACTCAGGATGATACAAGTGATCATCTATCCAGAAAAATAAAAAGGAAGCGACACAAGGAAATAGAGAACATTCTGAGATACTTGATGGGATAGTGAATATAAAGAATAAATTCTGATAAATGAATATTTTGTAACTGGTCCTGTTAAAAATATCAGGCATTTAATAAGAAATGTTCAAAACAAGTTCTCCAAATTTCAGGTCCTTCCAATGGTCCCCAAAGGTTAGGAATTTCTAATTTAGTTATTTAAAAAAGGAGGGCATACAATAAAATGTAATGTGGAGCATTGCAGCATTTCCACATGCACTTTTCTTCGATATTTCAGTCCATTGCCCCTCCATTTCTAACCTTGATTAGGGTTCCCATTAATTTACTGTGTGTGGATGAAATTTATTTCTAAAGCTATATTAACATTTATCCTTGAATATCAAAAAAAATGTTCTACTATGAATTTGTCTAAACCTTTACTCAAACCATTAAAATTAAAGTTGTTATCACACATTGAAGCATCAAATTTCATGAAGTAGGAACACATTAAAACTACTTTGTCTTTTGGATGTAGGGGACATAGGGATCCTATTCTTCTTTTCCCCTATATCTTTTTCTTATAATAAATCTTGGTCATATCCACTGGCAGTTTCTTTTTTATTATTTTAAACATATCATATACTAAGGACTAAATAACACTGTTTATAACCTCTAAATCTCCTGATTATTATGACCAATAAACCATAAAATCTGTAAACCACTGGGATATATACTCCTTGCAACTCCATTTCAATAGTTAAAATGAGCTCGCCCTATTTATTAACAGGTTACTGAAATGAAATAGTCGGAATTTTTGCATTAGTTTAAATTACACTCACCTTTTGCAGTTTTTACATAGTTTTACAACTGTGTCTAGAGAGATATTTCTGCAGAAACTAAGCTTCAGACACTTTAAGGTATTAAAGCAGAAATTAGCCAGCAAGCAAACCCTGAAATCCAAGAACAAATTACATTATGTTTTTACTATAAAATTTGAAAAGATCATTAGACAAGCATCTTGGATACATTATTTGTACAATATTGGATGGATCTATGTCTTTAATCATGAACAATTGCAGTGACATGGTAAAGAGAATGGTCCTGTTTTCTCTAGTTAATTCATGGCATATTTGGTTAGCTTATCTACCTTAACCATATCTTTATGTACAATTTTCACTAGTATTAGACTTTTACTGTTGTGCTAAGACAGGATTTAAGTTACAAATTGCTTCACGATCATTAGAAGGCTAGTTTAGAGACCTTTGGGGGGAATCCTGTCATAGGCTTACTCTTCCCTAGAAGATACTAGTGATTTAAGATGATGGAAGAATAGCTCTGCCACCCAAGTCATCCTATGGCCATGCCTTTCTCTTTTTCTTTCTTTGGCTCTTCATTGCAGCTTTAGATGCCAGATCGAAAAGTAATGCTTTACTTCTATTGCTAGCTAATTCTTCCTACTTTTGGTCCATCCCACTGAAAGCAGCTGAGAAAGGAGCCCCTATAAGCCAATCTCTGCATTACTGTTGATGGGTGTGATGGCTGGTCTTCAAAGAAATAAAAAGTTTCATCCATCATCATAAGTCAGCAAATTGAGCAGAAGGCCCTTTGCCCATGGACACAGTGAATCTGTAGAAAAGATTCACTCTCCTACATGACTGTTGGCCTTGCCCATGATGTGACTGTGAGCACTATAAAAGAAGATGATATTCTGACAAAACTGTAGTTGTCTCTCCCATATTCATTGCATTCCTGGACAATGAACACAATAACTGAGTAAACATAATGCTAAGTGGTCATCACTGCCATCTTTTGTCCTCCAGTTGGTAGACAAGATCCTATTTATCTTTAATGGCAATATGTGAGGAAAACATCTTAATTTGTAATGCCTTATCTGTTAAATCAGAAAAGGACTTTTTGTTTAATATATATCTGTTACCTTGAAAAGGTATAAGGGCACTATAAATAGGAGCAGTCTTTTAACTAATAGAAATCTCACGTATATTCAAATTTTCAGAAAGATATTGTGGTTTTTACCATGTAACTTGTGTCAGCTTCCATTTACTCAAGATTCATTGAAATCTATTTGGGTCAAAGAGATTGAGTGGGGACTAAACTTAGCATACAATTATTTTTATCTAACTATATTGTGGACAGGAAAATGAATGTGCCTTGTCTCTGCTCATATATTTAAATTCATGCAATAGTAACACTGAGTGATACTTCCCACTGACTGATATAGTATTCTTAGCATTGGGAATAGTTAAAAGATAATGTTATATAAATTTAAAATCTGTGTCTCCCAAATCTGAAAAATCAACCAGTTTTGGCACTCTTTGTAGTTTAAGAAAAAATCTATATTAGATAAAAAAATTTGCAAAAAAAATTAAGCATAAGAAAATGCTTGCAAAAAAGTCTGCATGTTAGGTAAATGGATACAAAAATGTCCATATCAGAAATATACAGTATACTACGATATGTTATGCATGCATTTTCTTGCACACCTTTTACTAAATTCACAGATTGATGCCAGTCAAAACTGGCTACTGATAAAATGAGAAAGTAAGCAAAGCTAATTTGAAGTTCTCAGGGGTCTAAATGATCAGGGAATAACTTACATATAAGCTTCATAACAGCAAATAAGGAATGTATTTTTTGAAGTGTGTTCCATTGAAGAGTAATGAAAACATCATCAAAATCCTACAGTAATGGGTACAATGTTGTACTACCATCTATATCATTGCAATAAGAACTTCTAGTGCAGTGGCATTTGAATAGTTCATAGGAAAAAAATAGTCATAAAAGAAAGTTAAATTGGGGCTGAACAAAAGATAAGTCAAATCAATCAGATAAAACTCAGATTAGCAATACAGTAATGTATTTAAGCAATCTGGGAATCACAATTATGGTGACGTTACCATAGCTACCTAGAATACAGAGCTTAATGTTTTACAACTCAGGGAAATTGAAAATGTACTGGAAAAAGTTATTTGGTCTACTCTCCACCCTATATCTTAATTAATAGATTTTGAGACCTCCACAGATGTTAAAATTCATTATACTTATGGGCAAGCTGGAATGTTGCAGCAACTGATGCCCACTGTCCAACCACAGTATGGGTGTAAATACCTATCCACAAGCCTTTTAAAAACCAATGTTTACTTGAACTAATTTAGTAACAGCACTTTTTGTAGATTAACTGGCACTATTGATCAATTCAAGTCTACATGACTCAAGTAAGTTTTCTGTACTATATTCATGATGTTTTCTAAGTTTCCTATCAAATTTCTATGGATTTTTTGTATTACTAGATCAAGAAATGAACATTAATCAGGACACCCATGTGCTCAGTCTTCAAGCCTTAGTCATTTTGTGTTTGAATTATTGCAATCCGCTCTACATGAGGCTACCTTTGGAAGCTACAGCTAGTGTAGAGTGCAGCACTGAGGGCAGGTCTTGAGGCCCAAGAACGGGTCATGTAACACCACTGCTCTGCAAGCGGCACTGGCTGCCAGTTTGCTTCCCGGGTGCAATTCAAGGTGTTGGTAATCACTTTTAAAGCCTTTCATGCCATGGGTCTGATTCACTTAACAATTATGATACTAACTTAATAACTGATGTAATTCACTTAATGGCTGGGGCAAGAAAGAATCAAATGTGCAAAACTCAACAACTGTCTTGCATAGCAACAGAAATTTTGGGCTCAGTTGTGGTCGTAAGTTGAAGACTATACTGCTATGAAAATTAACTAATTTGTGACTAATTTTATAGTGACTTAAAATGATTTTAACCAATGGTAGTATTATGTCACTGCTTGCACTGACAATATAGTTAATATTAAATACTCTTAAAATCAGCCTTAATTTTTGTCACCTATTTTCATTTTTAAATGTGCAAAAGTTTTACCAAATATCTTACCCTCTTTTGCTTGTTGCTGTGGAGCTCAAATCAAGATAAGAAAGCTTACGGCAATTCCTTGCCAAAGCTTGAACTCCAATATCACTCACGTCTTTACATCCATTAACATCAAGGTACCTGAAAGGATGCAAAAAGTGGTAACCTGACACAGAAACTGGCTCCCTGTGTACTTTGGGGGTGAGGGGGGAGAGTTGAAAGAGCTAGGGTATTACTGCTACATGGTAAGTCAGTTAACTAATTGGCTATTTAGAAGATGAGCATTTGAATTGTTCTTTCAACAAAGTGGCAGAGGAGGTATTTTTGAACAACATGGGTAAAGTTTTCAGGATCGTTCTGCTCATAATTTTCAACTTTGTTTTTTCATTTTTCCTTTCCTCGGTTATCAATTTTATAATTATTTGATCCTTTAGTGCTATTGTATTCATTTGTATTTTTATTAGTTGTATGTCATTTAAATTGAAAAAATATAGAAGCCTAGTTTCATGTGCAGTTTTTGTACAGAAGACTAAGGATGTTTCCATTGACATTTTTTATTATTGCTACACACACAACAATGTGAAATCACAGTTGTCACAATTCTTTAGCTGGTATTGGCCTTCATATGCATTGATTTCTTCACAACAGCCTAGGATGCTGTAATGTACTAATTGACTAACAATCATTAGTTTAGTAATTGTTCAAAGTTACAACAGCACTGAAAGAAGTGACAGCACTTAATCGTCGCAGCATCCCCACACAGTCACATGATGAAAATTTGGGCACCTGGCATGTATTTATGATGGTGGCGGCATCCCAGGATCAAATGATCACCATTGCTTCTTGTCTTACCTTCAAATGCTTTGGAGAATGTTGTCCCTCTCTTCTTTGTGTCAATCTTTCAAATATTGGATCATGTCACCCTTAGTCCTTCAGTTTATTTGTTAGATTAGAAATACTCAAGTCCTGCAACCTTTTCTCATATTTTAGCTTTCAGACCGCTAATCATCTTTGTCACTGTTCTGTGCACTCTTCCTAGAGTCTCAACATCTTTTTCATATGGCAGAGACCAGAACTGGACACAGTATACCAACTGTATACCAACTTCATGTGATCTTGATACTATTCCTCTGTTTATGTAGCCTAGGTCTATATTGCCCTTTTTTGGCATTTGCAGCACACTGCTGGCTCATACTTAAGTGTTTGACCATTAGATCCTCCTAGATCTCTCTCACAGTTAGTGCTCTTAAGCCAGGTACCATCTTCCATACCTGTGCATTTGGTTTTCCTTGCCTAAGTGTAAAACCTTACTTTTTTCGCTGCTGATTTGCATTTTGTTTGACAGGGCCAATTGTTCAAGCCTGTTAAGATTTTTTCTGGATCTTGAGCCTATTTTCTAAAGTTTTGGCTATTCCCCCTGGCTTGGTGTCATCTGCAAATTTGAGAAGTCACCCTTCTATTCCTTCATCTAAATTGTTTATGAAAATGTTGACGAGTACTGGGCCTAAGATAGAACCTTGGGGCACCCTATTGCATACTTCCCTCCATCTAGGTTTAATTCCATTGAGAACTATATGTTGAGGGCAGCTTGTCAGCCAGTTATGAATCCGACTGGTGATAATGCTGTCTATCCCATATTTTTCTATCTTATCAGGAAATAAGTTGTAATCTACTATATGAAATACCTTACTGAAGTCCAAGTATACTATGTTCACAGCTTTTCGCTGGTCTGCTAATTAAGTCATTTTGTCTTTGTACTCAGATTCCCTCACGTGTATAATTTCCCCTTCCCAGCCATGTGATTGCAAACCATGAGTAAGGCAACATTTTAAAAATCAAAGTGTGTCATCTTGGGAATAAATGCAGAAGGAAATAGATATGAGTTGCAGTGATAGCAAAAGAAACATCGATACTGTCCATAATTTTAGCAAAATAAAGAAAAAAACAACTTTTTTATCCAAAGCAAAGAAACATAACTATTACACTAAGGGGAAGATAAATAATCACAGAGATGTGCAACTATAGGATTTCTTATATCTTCTTTGATTAAACAGATTAGAAATGAGTTTCAGAACAGACTATCCTGCTAAACCCATACTTCATTTATTGAATACATGTTACTTGATTCCCTCTCTGAGTTTAAACTGTGATCAATAGTAACCACAATTCTATAACTTTCAGCTTCAGTTATAATTTGGTTCCAGTTCTTTATTTTAAGTTTATTATTAAAATAGCAGAATGTTAAGAATCTAATACACTTTAAAATTTTATTTTTTAAAACCATACACGTTTGATAGCACAACAAAATGTTAAGTAGTTGCCAGAGAAATAGCACTAACCAGTACAGCTTCAAGGACTTTTTATTCAGTGCATTTGAGGTCACTAACAGCAAACAGGCAAAACAAAATGTCAGCGTAACTAATAATGTAATATCACTGAAATTATTTAACTAATACCAAAATATATAAATTCAAGGACAAGTGCATTTTCAACGTATTATCTTACCTGATCCCTGGCAAATCCCTGCTAATTTCAATTAGACTGATGTCAGTTATATGAGCACACGAATTAAGAACCAAACAATCCAATTTAGGACACTTCACAATATAATGTACTAGAGAATCCCTCATCTGCAGCCAAGACAAGACAAACGCAGGAAATAAGCCAATGTGAAGGATTGTCTTTAAATAATAGAACTGAGCTATTCACTGCAAGTCAAATTCCTTATTCTCAGTACAATAAGGAAACCAGCTCCAGTATATTTTTTTATAGATTAATGTTCAATGTGTATTGGCATACGTTTTCCCATAACTCTTTTGATAGGTTTATATACAAGTCTACAGTATTACTTTCCTAACCCTTTTAGGAAAGCCGAGGAAATAAGAACATCTAAGGAGTGGCTGATTCAAGAATTAAGAGTAGAGAACAGGGTGATTTTCTTCTTTTCTTGGAGTCAGTTCCATTCAGAGTTAATAGGCACAAGCCTGAGACCCTAGCTTTGTAAGATTTTCCTTAGGGCTTAATTGCATCCCCACTTCTATTTAACATCTGAGTAAGATTATCCCTATCAATACAGGGATGATAATATAGATGTATATCTCAACGCATTGCCTAGTAATACAAGAAGTCCCATTGCCAGTAATATTGGACAATATTGTTCTGGATAGAGTTGCACTACTTCAGACAGAATGTGTGAGTAACCGGAGGGTCTTCCTGACTCTTGGCTGTGCCTTGAAATGCAAGTGACAGCCTTGGCAGGGAGGGCCTTTGCAAAGATACCATAAATCATTATAAACATTCTGCAGTTAACCTATGTGGCACCTGTTGCATTGATTTTCATCTGCAAATCCAAATAAACCCTGGCATGACTTCGGTTCTCAATACCAAAAAGAATACCTTGCTCCAAAATTGCTGCTCAATCACTCATATCCTGGATGACTACAGTGCACTCTGTATGGGGCTACTATCCTGGAAGAGTATTTGGAAGCTACAGCTGACATAGAAAGCAGCCCTGCAGGTAGTTCCAGGAGCCCCTAGAGTGGTACATTTAACACTGCTGTTGCACAAACTGTACTGGTTGCTGGTTTGCTTCCACATCCAACTCAAGGTGTTGCTTATAACCTTTAAACCCCTTTATGGCAATGGGTCCAGCCTACCTGCAGAACCATCTCACCTCAATGGGATTGGCCCACGCCGCTCATTCCAGCAGAAGAGGCATGCTGTGGACCCTTTTGTTAAAGAATTCTGGTTGGCGAGATCCAAGATAAGGACTTTTTCTGCTGTAGCTCCCTAGAACATAGTGCTCCTCAAAGTGAGATCTGCTCCCATGTTCTTGTCATTTTGAAAGAGCCTCAAACAGGCTCTGCTGATTGGCCTGGCTCCCGATGAGAGCATTCCACATTGGAACTCATTAGTGAACTATAAAGAATAGGCCAGGGACCACTGATGGTCCACGAGAAAATTTTGGTGGTCCGCAGAGAAATATCACCCCCAAAGCAACCCCCAAAGCAATTAATAAAGGCTGCGCGGGAACACAAGGCTGTACCACCCACATGGCCCATGGGAACACAAGGCTTGTGTCGCTTGCATTACGAACAACACGAGGTAGTGAGGGGAGCGAGGAAAGGATGGAAGTGGAACTTGCCCCACTCACCCCACACGCCTGGCCTGGCCACTGGGCTGCTTCTTTCCACTTCTTTCTTCTTCTGCTTTTGGCTGCACACAAGGAAAGCAGCAAAAGTCTTTCTTTCTCTCCCAAACTCCGCCAGAAATGAGTCTTTGGGACCCTGCAAGGCATCCTGTTCTAAGAGGCTGCGCTAGCGTGACAAGTCTCACAAAGACTCATTTCTGGCGGAATTTGGGGGAGATAAAGACTTCTGCTGCTTTCTTTGCATGAAGCCAAAGTCTTTCCCTCCCCCACCAAGAACAGAGCTGGAGACAGTATCCTGCAATCTCAAATAAAGAATGATCGGTAGGACAAAGGGGTGGGGAATTTTCATACAGGCTTTTGGGGGGATTTTCCCAGGGTCTCTGGTCTGCGGGATTTAAAATTATGAGTTTGGTGGTCCCTGAGGTCCAAAAGGTTGGCAACCCCTGATAAAGAAGATCCCACCCCTACCCCATTGCCTTCCAGTTTCTAACTCATCAAATTTCTGTTAATTTTAATTTTTAATGTTTCAATGTTTTATATTTTGCTTTTATGACGTAAGCCATTCAAAGTCACTTGACAGTAAGATGAGCGGCATATAAATTTAACAAATGAATAAATGTAGTGACAGTTTGGCCTCCTCTGGATCCAGTCTGTCCTAGCATCAGAAGAGGGAATACCAGGCTGGGAGAAAACTAATTTAGAACTTTAAAAGCATCTTTTATTAGTATACTTTAGTCAATAAGTTTATTAAGCGTAAAAGATCTATTACTTTTAGGGATTACTGAAGCTTTCCCTAAAGAAGGAAATTTTAAAGTGGAAAATAATTGCCTAGGACTGTAGGGCTCAGGGCTCACATTTTAATTTCAGTGTCTGAATTATAACACCTTTATATACAATTTGCACCTGTTTCCATAATTTGTGAATATTGTGAAATATTCAGTTTATCATTCAGTTTCCAAACTTATATCCAGAAGACTGATTTGTTTTTTTAAAAAGCAACATAAGATCTCAGTGTTGTTCTATACTGAGAAGCCTATAAATCCTTCAATGGTTTACATTTTTAAGTTGTCAACCTTTGATATATGTAATATGACAAATTGAACCCAAGCAAAAAAGAAATAATTAACGGAGGGAAATGGGTGAAATAAGTAAACAGCTCTTACCATTTCAAGGCCTGTGACATTGAGGCTTGTAAGCTTTTGCAATGAATTTACCGTTTGCACTAAACAGTCCTGCGAGATTCTATGAACTCTGCCAATATTCAGAACCTCTAGACCTAAACATTTAGTAGATATTGATTTCAAGCATTTGTCCGTAATGGCTTGACAGCCAAACATTTCCAATTTCTTAAGGCTAGAAAAGAACATAAGGAAGTTAGTAATATCCTTTAATATTAGCCATTCAACAGTAACTGATTTTTTTTAAAGGTAAGTGCTTAAAGATAGCATTACTCCCCAATTTTAACATGAGAAGCATGTGAAAACAAAATACGAAATTACTGATATTATAATATCTTGAACATGTCTGAACATGTTAATGATAAATTAATTGATACACTAAGCAGGTAGAATTAACTATATTTTTGTATTGTTGCTGATTTCAGAAAACACATGTTGATTTGATATAGCACATACGGGATTATTTATTTGGCAATTTGCAATTACCTGTCTGAAAAGAAAATAAGAACATATGTAAGAACCCTAGTAAATTGCAGAAGTCCTGTTAACTATAAATAATTAATAAAAATGCATTCCCCTTCAAAATAGACCTCTCTGTGGAATTTATCCTGTGAGTGATAAAAGTTGAGTTGGCCATACAGAGAAAATGAGACAGAAAAAAAACAGAACAAATCTGCAGGGTTTGGTTAGGTGACACATTTAACACAGAAAATAGATAATTTTTAGGGCCTTGAAGCATTAGCATATAATTGTTGACATCTTGGGCTTGGCACAAGATAAAGCCAACAACATTTGATCAAGGAAGAAAAAAGTGGCTTGCCAGGATATTCTTGTGCCAAAATAAACCACATGTGACAAATTAGTCTTAGAAATTTGGGGACTGTTATTCAATTCAGACTCGGTAAATAGCCTCAAACTAGTAATTGTCTCAACCTCAGTTCATTTTCCTGCCAGATCATATAATGATCTAACTTACAAGGTGGCACAGTAAGGTCTAACAAGCACCTAGGAAAAAAGATACAGACACTTTCCAATCATTATTAAAAATTCTCCTTCTCTATGTTTTCAGCCCAGATACTAGTTATTCCTGCTTCTCCACTCCACTAGTTTTTAGATCTTTCAACAGACATTTATTCTCCTCACAAAGCAGGCTCTGAACAGTATGGAGAGTTGTCTACTAGTGAAGAGTAAAAAAATTCAAAAGGGCAGTGGCAACTGTACTATCAATTCTTCATAATTGGAAAAGAAAAAAGATTGTGTACAGTTTGTAGGAAAGGAAAAGAAAAGTCACATTGGGGTCTCTGGTTACCATCTGTTAGGTAACCAAGTGGAAATATAAACAATGGGTAATGTTTGCACTGTATTTGGTTTTATATAAATATTTTTATTCAAGTAGATAACATACATTATACAATTCAAATTAACCATAAAGACTAACTGTAATTAAATGTCTTGTTTATGTAGATAAAGATAACTTGTGCAGAGAGAAAGAAGTTAACTATCTATTATCTATCTCAGACAAAGATGCAGGTGAATACATATGAAAATAAATCATGAAACAGCATAGTCAAGTTTGCCTTCAGCTTCATAAAGTCTAAATCAAGAATGAGGTATGATTTGGTTTTCAAAAATAGTAAGCCAGAGTCTATATATCAGGACGTTATCACATCAACTTGTGATTTGTTCCAAAAAAACAAACCATGATCAAGGAAAAGGTATGATGGCTTCTTTTTTTTTAGTGAACCCTGCATATCGGTTGTTCTTATTACAATATCTAAATTCTTAAGGCATTCTGTGATAAAAATACAAAATAATAAATAAGGCCATCTTTTGAGGCTTCCGTGTTGCCAATATTTAAACAACATACCTCATGTGTGGCCAGAATCTGAAAACAACATTCAATACAGCACAATTCTGACTAAAATGGTCTGACTGAAATCAGCATATGTGGGCTTGACTGGGGTATATTACAGGGGTGATACAGAAATATAATTTTATGTCATTTTATTCGATTTTACATATTTATGTATTAAATTATTGTATTTTATCCTACGACTATTGTATTTTAAAGCCCTACTCTCATTTTAAATTGTTTGGTTAGAATTTTATTGCTAATATGTGTTTGAATTTTCCTCTAAGAAAAATAATGACTTATATTAAACAATATATTACACAGAAGCTCTTTTTGTCATTAAGGCAAGCCAAACAACCAATTCACATACAAGTTCAAATTGCTATGAAGTGCTTGAATGATGGTAATATGATTAACTTAAAATAAGATTTCCAACATTTGCAGTCATCACTTGTAGTACTTGTGGCTTGTTTATGTTTTTTCCTGGAAACAAGCTGACACCTATTTGCAGTATGCAAATATTAATGGTAATCCATCTAAAAAGTGAGATGACTGGAACAACAATTGGTTGTACATCAGCTGATGACAGCAGTGAAGATGTTTATGATTAAATGAAAGAAGGGCTTACCAAAGTTGCTGACAATGGAGGCAACTATCTACAAATAAGACAATAAAAAAGGCAGAAGAGAATCAGGAACAAAAGACAGAGGACATTCTGTACTGTTGGAGCTCAGATTAAGCTTTCTGAGAAGATTCTATGTCTGAGCCTTCAAGAGAAAAGATACTGTAGAACAAAAGATAGGATATAGATCTTTGAAAGACAGAAAGGATGCAGTAGCACTTCTCAAGAAAATATGGACAAAAAAAACCTGATGGCATTACCTAGTTGGATAAGGAAATACTTGCAAGAAAACAATTGAGCTTAGATAGTATCAGGGACCTCACAGTTTAACCCTGAGCTACAAGTACTCTTCTACCATGAAAAATATTCTTCTATCATAGAAAAAAGTTACAACTAAGCTGTTGTTATAAAGAACTAAAACAAGCATACTATATGTTAACAGGATAAGGGAGCTTGTGAAGTACTATATGTTAAGTACCAGAAGTAAGAATCAGGAATCTGAAAGAACTTCCAAGATTTAGCAAGTTTACAAACAATTGTTGCTTCTCCCAAGCTGTACATACGGGGATATATGTACAGCTATAATCATATCATAATTTAACAGATAAGGAAGGGAACTCAATAACCTAGTCTTTTAATTTATTCATTTATATTCTCATTTACTCAAAGGGTATCCACAGAAAACCCTTCAAAAAAGACAGATGAATGACATCGTGTCCAAGAGAGAAAGGTTTGTGGAATCACAGTCTGAATTATCCAGATAATGGACTATTGAAACATTATGTACTGCAATCCACAATGGTTAGTAAAAGTAGCTTAAGCATAGTAAGCTATTTTTTTTTCTGTCGCAGTAGCAGGGTCTTTGAAACTACCTAATAAAAAATCAGAAAGTTATTTTATAAAATTTGTGACCTGGGTCTATGCATTAATGTTCAGAATATGGAAAATAAAATAAGATGAATGTAGTAAACGAAAGCATATTATTTAGAATAATGGAAACCTGTTTGGTATGATTTCTACAACTAGAATAGAACTGAAGAACACAATTCATTCAAAAGGAAGTGATAGAAATATCAAAAGACAGTTGTAGGTTTAAAAAATCCACATCACATCAGAAACCCAAGGAATGATTTAGTGAAACTACACTATGCTGGATTAAAATATATGGAGGAATGAACAAAAGTAATACTGTTGCTGATGACCATTATCACAACACAAGCACAAAGAGAAGATGTGTCTTATATAGAAATAAACTGTAGAATTTTCAAAGATACGTAGAATAATTGTGATGAGGGATTTTTAATTGCTCCAACTTATGCTGGGGGATATATTTTATCAAACAAGGCCCACAACACAATTGTTGACAATTTAATAATTAAAATCTGGGAAAAGACACAAAAGCACAGTATCAGTTATTCTTGATACTAGCCATGATAGGGTTTAAGTTAAAGGATGGAAAATTCCACTGAATTGAAATGGAGATCCCTTCCGAATGATCAGAAAAGTTTGTTAAGTGAACTAATTACCCAGTGAGGTAGTGGGCTGTTCTTTGCTTGGATGTATTCAATTGAAAGCTAACCAGTCATTAGTCAAGGATGGTTTCTTTTAGCATCCTGCAAAGGTCTGAACTCAATTAGAAAGGTCTGTGTGTTCTGGGTTTGAATTCATGGATTTGACTTTTGTCCTACAGTACAATTGCCAAGCATAGTTGACGGCCATACATTAGAAAAGGTTATTTTTATAGTTATTGTGGTTTTGGCAGCAAAAAAGAAAGTCCAATTTTTTAGAAATTAGGAAATGTCTTGTATAACCTTCTAAATTAAAGCTATGATGATACAACCACCATGTACTGTATTTTGATTTACAATTTTCATTAGCATATACCTTACCTTTTTCCATGCTTTCCAATCAAGGCCATTACTGATTCATTCGTTATCTGGCATCCATTAGCAGAAAAACACTGTAAACTAAAGGAAAAGTAGCAATTACTTGAATTTTTCATGTAATAAAATATTGTTAACCAAGCAGATATATATAGTTAAAAGTCAGCCCCACTTTAATCAATAAGCTTCCTCTGAAGTAGATATTAAAAGTAGCATATCTTAAATTTCATTATTTGATATTGTATTTTAATGAAAAATAAGCTATTATCTTTTACTGGATTATCTACATTTAGGAAAACCAATATGGATGCTTGTAATTTACGCCAAACCTATTAACATTACAGATTAAACATCTTCCAATTTAAATAATAACTTTCCTGATTTTAGATTATTTTAGATGATGAATGCCAATAGAGAAATGTCCAACATTGGATATTGAAGGGGGGGAAAGGAAGCTTGCACCAACAGATATTTTTATTGTTGTTTATTTATTGTATTCATGGTTACAAATAAATATATTAAAAACAATTTTAAAATGGCAGACCAAGTTAAAGAGTAAAGATGGCCTCGACAGTAACAAGAATAAATAAATTGCCAAAGAGGACTTCACTCATCTTTGCAAAAGAACTGGGCAGAGCCAGGTTTTTAAGGCCCTTCCAAACACCAGCTAAGTGGGGCTGTCCAGAACTTGGGAGTGACCTCAATTTAAACAGCAGGCACTGAGAAACCACATTTACAGGGTTCCAATCAGTGGTTGGATTCAAAAAATTTTACTGCCAGTTCTGTGGGTGTGGCAGAGGAAGGATATTGTAATATCTCCATTCCCTCCCCTTTCCTGGGGAAAGGTTACTGCAAAATCCCATTCCCTCCTCAACCCACTAACTGGCTTTCCAGCTCCATTCTCCTGTGCAGGGCAACAAAAGAAGATCCAGCCAATCAGCTGGGACTCAGGAGGCAGAGAATAGCTACCGGTTCTCCAGAACTGGTCAGAACCTGCTGAATACCACCTCTGGTTCCAGTGCATGGTATGGTTTAACTGAAGGACCCTGGAGTGTGCCAATCCTGCCACATTGAATTGGTCAGGCAGATAATGTGGAAGACAGGTGGCCCCTCAAGTAAACAAACCCTATGTCATGTCAACTTTTATAGGTAATAACCAGCACCTGGAAGCAAACTGGCTTGTACAGCTCACAGAGCAGAGATGCAACCTGCTCTGTTGCATTCTAGACCACTTTAAGATTCCTGGTGTCTTCAAGAGAAGACCTAACACAGAGAGTGTTGCAGTAATCAAGCCATGAGGTGATCATGGCATGAATGAATGGAATCATCAGGGAAAACATCCCAATTAATAGAAATACTAGCGGGGAAGAGAAAAACAGAGGAAAATAGAAATTAACAATAAATTGCCATAAATTACTAACGTCTTATGGACAGAACAGAACAATGTGAGGAGTGAAACAGAAGTATTCTGATAAAAAGCAGGGCAGGGCATTCCGAACTGCAAGAAACTCCTATGTAATCTTAGATATAATTAATCTAATGGGCCTTGCCCATTTGCAACTGATTGTACAAAATGGTGGTAAAAGTATTAGGTGGCAAAGGTGTTTTCAGGATTTTTTTAGATACCTTCTAGAACCTTTGACTAGAGCATCAAGTCCAAAATCAGTAGTTCCTGTCCAACTTATATCTACAACTGCCAAATTATAGCAAAAGGTGCTTGCATGAAGGAGAATTCTGTCCCCTTTATATCCAGAACCACTGCAGTTTTTTATACTCAGTTCCTAAGTACAAAACGGGGAAAAAAGGAAATTGCAATGAATTGACTGAAACAATTACTTTTATTAGCATACCTTATACATCAATCAGAATTGTTTATTTTAGGGCAGTGCCACACTTCAATTGTAAAGCAAAAAGGGGGCTTGGAAGTTGCAAGCTGTCAGCAATTCCTTAAAGCAGCTGCTTCTTTTCCTGGAATCTCACAACTGCAATGTGATCCTGAGAAAAATGTGTTTGGTTTAAGAAGTTGCTGAAAGATGCTCCATGCAAACCGGTGTATTCTCTAAATCATCCCTTGAATCTAAAACACCCACCCAATCCTATTGTTTATGTTACAACAGGATGATTAAAAGAAAATAAAATTTATTACAATAAGCTTCCTTTCAAATTAAATGCTAGACAAAAATGTTTGTAACGATCAAATCAAAGAATTGAAAATTCATAAATATTATGCAGATTTCATTACTATTGCTTTGACTTTGTGTTCTGTCCTCACAGCAACTATTCAACCTTACATAGTTTATGACAGACAAAAGACAGGGAAAAAAAGGGTGGGAGATACTATATCTGCAGTTTTTAATATGTTTTTGTTTTCTCCAGTTCTTCTGTCAGCTTCCATCATCATTTCTCAGAATATTTCTACTGCAGGGATAAACAAAAGCCCTCTCTTGATCTCAGTAGCGGTAACGATATATAATTTTGGAATGAACCAGGAAGACACTGACTTGCAGAAAATTAACAATAAATCAAATATCACTTTTCTTTTTGATTTGTATTAATTCTATTTATAATGTTGTTAATTTCTAACCTTCAATTTTGTAGTTTGATAAATGTACTGTCCGTTATAATCTTTTAATAAGAAAATAGCCTCCCCTGGACTTTTCTCATCTTAAAATGCCATCTGAACATTAATAAATCTGACTGGGATATCGATACTAGATGGGCAATGACAAATGACTCATGTAAGAAAACATTTCTTGAAATAGAAACAGGGTTAATTAATTTGAGTTGAAATCTTGGGGCTTCTAGCTTGACATCTTGGATTGATTGGATTTCATTTTCCAATCTCAAAAAAACCGTCTATTTTTGGATAGGTACTACTACCTGCTAGATCTTTCCAGTTCTGGATCAGGCAGTGGGGCATGTTAGAAGAACAACATACTGACCAACATACTTTCAGCATGAAGATAAAATAAGGGCATACCTGTAGATAGTTAAATTAATTTACTCTTTTTGCATGAGAAAATAATAGAGAAAGAACAAATACTGCCTTATCCATATATCTGACCTCTTGGGATGACCTCAACAGAAAATTAGGTCAACATTTAGCTCTCATTTCTAATACTATATTCTAAAATTATATTGCTTATATAGCAGACAGCTAGTTTGTTATCATAACATCCTGAATTACAATTTTTACAATTAGAGAACTCATTATTGTTAAGAATATACAGTCAGAAAAATTGAAATCAGCCATTCTGGTCTTATTGTGAAATGGCCTTTAATATGGAAGCATTACTACAAATAGAATTACCTTTTTATCTATCAAGATGTCTTATGAACATGTCATAGATGCCCTTTTGTTTTTAATTTGATTTTGGAACCACTTGTTTGCCTTATTAAGCAAAGGGAAGACATGCTCAGTATAACAACAAGTGGACTGAATGCCAGCTGTTATTATTGCAGATGGATATTATGTCTTATTGATAATTATACTGTATATTGTACAAAAATTATTTATATTGTACAATGCTAGTAATTTATCAGGTTATTCAATGCATTGGGATAAATTTCATATCTCCTATGGGTAGCATGTGCATGAAAATTTGTAAAAAGTAGAGTTTTTGCTTTTTGCTTGAGTATTTTAAACCTGAGAATAATAATTCCAAGGAACTTGTAGGAGAAGAGCAAACAGAGCTGGGGCAGAGTTAAGCACACCATCTGCTTAGAGTCACTGCATTCCCACAAGTACTCTAAGTCCAATTCCTATTGAATTCCACTGATCCTTATCTGGCATCAATTTAGAGTGGAATTTTAGTTGACCAAATTAATATCAGGAGCAAAGAATCAGGACCATTCACAAGGTTGCAGCACAGAAGATGTATTCAAGGCTATACAGAAGAATCTGGTGTGGACAGCTTTATATTTAGGTCAAATCTAACATGTATAAGTGAACTTTTGTGCATATTACAGGACTTTTCATTCTTCCTTACAGTCCTTGGAACTTTAATTTTTTTTACTTTAGGTACCCTACTTTGTAGTACCACTTTGAGAATTAAATAAGATCTCATCCCCAGCTCTAGGATGGAAGAGTTCCTATGAGAAACCAATTGGATAAAAATATCCGATCTACTCTTATTCATGTTTCATTGAAAATCAGAATTAATGTAAATACGGAAACCATACTGAAGCGAGTAGAGCTTGGTTTTCAATAGAATATTTTTTTAATTTTGTGAAATCAATATTATTGATATTGTATTAAACTAGAAAGAATATGGCCCACTGTGAGCATCAAGATCCAGTAGTGCATGTAGAAACTTTGTTATTTCCCTTATATTGTACCAGTGGTGGGATTTAAAATTTGTTACTCCTGGTTCTGTGGGCATGGCTTGGTGGGCATGGTAGGGGAAGGATGCTGTAAAATCTCTATTTCCTCCCCACCCCACTAACCTGCTTTCTAGCTCTGTTCTCTTGTACAGGGCAACAAAAGAAGACCCAGCCAATCAGCCAATCACTCAGGAAGCAGAGAATAGATGGGGGCGGGGCCAGTCAGAGGTGGCATTTGCTGGTTCTCCAAACAATCAAAATTTCCACTACCGGTTCTCCAGATCTGGTCAGAACCTGCTGATTACGACCTCTGTATTGTACCATGTTCACATATAATAGTATATTTTAAAATCTACATAAATTATAATGAAAAATAATAAATATTTCCCAACTTGCTATAATTACAAAACCAAAACCAAGCTTTATATTTAAAGTGGACATTACCTTGAGATATCCTTCACAGTATTGGAAGAATTGTTTTAGTCCAACCTCAGAAATTCTGTGATCTTTATCATGGCAATGATCAAGAGTGAAACACTCAGGGTGGTGTTTTCCTAAACTAATCAACCAGTCATTGTTCAAGCAGTGGCAATCTTTAAGCTGAATCTTCTTCCCTGGAGAAAAATAACCTAGTTTATTGGTGCAGGTAGATGTTTATTCATTAACTAAAGACTTTTTATAATATTTCTTTTAGAATGATACAGTGCATAAGCTCTCAGTGTGCATACAAACAACGAAGTGATAAGCCATAAATCATAAGACACAATCATAAATCATATGGTACAGCAACCATTGATAAATCATAATATATCAATAGGAGAAGGTAATAGGAAAGATGAGTTGTGAGAAAGATGAGAGGGATGACAAGATGACAAGGATAATAGTAGCACAGCCTACTACATGGGTAAATATCTTTGGGCAGAAGACAGTACTGTAGGAGTTAGGTATTTAGCTGAGTGGAAGAAACTATCTTTGTGTTTAGTTGTTTTGGCATGCAATGCCCTGAAGTCTTGAGGAGAAAGGTTGAAACAGTTTATGTCCATTTATTAATATTCCCTAGGAAAGTTTAGGGCAAAATGTGTGATTTTCTTTTCTTTGGAGATGGATTGTGGCAACTACTCACCACATCATTCACTGCATCTGAACAAGTAAAGATTTCAAATTAGATTTTCTCAAGCCCCATTTTAAATTCCAACCACTATATCTGATGTATCAATAGCATGGAAGAAGACTCAGGATACCAAGAAAGAAAGCTGCAGTGTTAATTGGATGACCTAGGGCAGGGGTCTCCAACCTTGGCAACTTGTGGACTTGTGGACTTCACTTCCCAGAATTCCCTAGACAGCTTTGCTGGCTGAGGAATTATGGGAGTTGAAGTCCACAAGTCTTAAAGTTGCCACGGTTGGAGACCCCTGACCTAGGGTATTGCCAGTGTAATTGTAATCAATTTTTTCATGCAAGCTAGGGGTTATTATTATATTATTCTGACAAGTGTACAGCCACCTAGAGAAAGCAAATCCATCTTGGGTGTGCTAATGGCAAGTTACATAATGTCATGGGAGTCATCTGCTGAGGCAGTGTCTAATGATAATTATTCATTTACTGAATAAATACTAAAAATTCCAGTGACTGGGGCAGAATAACCTCATAGCCTCCTCTAAAGTAGCTCTTTGGATTAGAAACTTTATGTATCAAATAAACACTAGATGATATCAAAGCAAGCAAATTAAATGGTATGAACTAGAATTGAAAAGTTCATCTCCTAATTCAATTAAACTCTTTTTTATAGAGTAATGAGGAAAAGGGGAAATAACTGTTTTTCTTAAAATCGTATGTAAGTTCTTCCAGAGGCAATAACAACTGTTTGAGAACAAAGGTGCACTGATTCTTAAAAGTGTTTGAAAAACAGAGCTGACCGATTTCTACCATTAATGATTCTTCAGATCCAGTCTTATATTTTCCATGCCTCACAAATTTATAGTTCTATCTCATGCATTGTTTACACAGGTGCAAACTCTAGCCATAAATACCATATGAAGCACTATAGCTATATAATAAATGATATAATATTCACCACATAGAACTATTAAAATATCATAGTAATCTTGAAATATAGACCAGAGTAATGAAAGTGGCATTGACCAAAGTGAAAACTCAAAGTATGTGTAATTTGCCAGCAGTTGCTATTTATAAATTGGCAGTTATCTAAAGTGAGATAATACTCCAGGGAGTCTAGGACAAGCAGTGTAAAAGGCTGAAGAACAAATCAGAATTAGAAGTTAAAAGCTAAAAGGCAAGGATAAGAAACAAACTGTAGGTCACAGCAATGACCACAATTTGAGAAAAACCATAACCCTCACAAGGGCCTTGTTATTCAAACAAGGTTCAACTCAGATAGTCTTGCAATGCTTTCCAGGAAGATCCAGTACAGATAGTCTTCGACTTAAAACCCCAATTGGAACTAAAATTTCTGTTGCTAAACAATGAGGTTGTAAAGTGAGATTCCACGTGATCACATTGCTTAGTGACCGCAATCTTGGTGATCTCCATTGCTGTCTTTAAGCGAAGGTGACCAGTTGTTAGCCAAGGACCCAAACCAAACCATTCTGGCATTCAGATAATTCAGTTGCCTCGTGAAAAAGCATCTTTGGGACATTCTGATATTGGTCTCTTCCAGCTCCGAGCATCAGTAAGGTAAAGGACTGTCTCCAATTCTGTCTCCCCCCAGGTTCTGCCTTTTGGGCTGCCCTGCACCCCTGCCTTGAGCAACTTCAAGGAGCCCCCAAATTGTGCAGCTCTGTGGCTGTTTGCCATGACCTGGGAAGGTGCAACTGTCCCAGTTTGACATAGAAAAAAGAATAAGAGGTTCATTTCATGTATTTGATTTTCAGAAGTCCCAACAGATGCCTTGAACTTTGCTCTTGAGCCCAATCCAGGAAAGGCATCCACAATGCAGCCAGGCCAGCTTACCACACTTTATTTGCAACAGAAGTATAGGTAATCCTCACTTAACAATGATAATGGGACCAACAACTCCAATGTGGTGGTAAAGCACACTGTTTCATGACCGTGCTGACTTTGGATGGCAGTTGCAGCAGTCCCAGTTGCCATTGTTAAGAAAATTCTGTGTGGTCATAGCATCCCATAGTCATTAGTCAATGAGAACTAATACACAACACCATCTAAATGGATTCCTCTTGAATGTAATATGTTTAGAGCTTAACTTTATTTTATCCCCAAGAGCTGGCCACCTGTGGCATGCATGCCATAGGTTCGCCACCACGGGTATAGGGTTTCTTGCCTAAGCAGGGGGTTGGACTAGAAGATCTCCAAGGTCCTTTCCCATTCTGTTATTCTATTCTAAATTCTAAATGGAATTTAAATGCTAACAAAATCAGTGGGATGTCAGCAAAGATGCAGTAAACCAAACTTATTCAGATTTGTTTAATTAGTAGACTTCTTACATCCTTGACTCCACGCGTACTGAAACGTTTGATAAAGTGTATTTCTCCTTGTCTTTTAGCGAAGTATTTCAGCCACTTTTTTGAGAGATTTGGGGGGGGGGTTATGATGCAAAGATCATGCATTTTAACAAAAGCAAGCCTAAAATATATACACACCTTATGCAATATTTATGTATTATTGAAAGACAGATCTTGGCTGCATCTAATTGGCTGCCTTTCTTTACTCAAGGTGCTAAGTGTTTGCTTTGGAATTCACTGTGGGAACTAACACAAGCCTAGAGCTACTGACACAGAGCAAATAACCTTCAATTTGTTTTCTTTTATAGCAATTATACAAAGCATTTTCCATTTCTTAGAAGTTTATCAGTGGCACCAAATCTTGTGTTGCACACCTACCAAATTGCAGGCAGCTGGCAGTCAGCAGAAGTAGCCTAACCACTGCACCACCGCAGCTGTTGGGAACTCTCTATAAATGAAGGACTCCAACAATTATTTTTATTATGTTCCTTTTGTTTAATTATTAATTATCATTAAATTTGCTTTATCTTGCTTTATCTTTTCCTTTTATTAGTAGGTATTACACATGCACCACCTAAGCAACAAGGAAGACTTTTATAAGTAAAATTAAGACTGAAATCTTAATATATAACAATTATTTTTATATGATTTATAATGTGTTTTCAATCTTATGCTCAATTTTGGATGAAAAAGCTAAATAATTTTATGCATACAATATTGCTATTAAATAAACTGTAATTTAGATTGAGGGAATTTTTTCCTTTCTCTTTTCTATACTCTAAGCTGTTTACATAATAAAATAATTGTCTATGTACTATATAAACATCAGTATCAACACAACGTACTAAAATTTATAACATAATGAAAGTGTGGGGGGGGGGAACCTAGTTTGTCAGGTACTCTAGTACATTCCTAAACATTTTTTTAATTGGATGTAAATAAAAAAAGGCCACCTCAGGCTTTCTTTTACTATGTTATCTCCCTCCCTCCCTCCCTCCCTCTCTCTGCCATAGCCAGGCTCTGAAGCAGCCCTGTTTACTTTTTGCAGGGTTGGGTTGGCTGTATTATATAACTATATGTGAATCATATCATGAGCAAGTAAGTCTATTGACAACATCCTACTTTAACAAATAGATTGAGAGAAGCCAGCTCATTCCAGGCTTGGCAGATATTGATATGATTAAAGCTGCCATACAGTATTTAGATTGCAAAATTCAGATACCCACTAAATAGCAGCAAAAAGGTACAGAAATCTATACTGCTTGCTACCACCAATTGGTTATCTGAAATGCAGGCCTAATTTTGTAGTCATGATGATACTTACTGTCACTATTGCTATCACATTGCTTCTCACATAAATGCTGCTAACATAAATATTGGTAATCCGTAAGTGATCAGAAATCTCTTCTATGGTTACCTGTGAGTAATGTATCAGTATGTCTATCTGTATAAGATTCATCTGCCAAACATTTAGGAAAAAGAAAGAAGGCATTGTCAGCTGTTCGTCCAAGGTTGAGCGAGTGAACAATAAGATATCAACTCACTCGTGTAGCTTCAGTGAAGTTTTTTATTCGTCTCCCACACCACAACAACAGGTAACAGCGATCAAATTATGTTTAAAGTCAGCTCTGGGTTTCGTTGCAACCCAGAACTGTATTTATACATGTTATACTTTGGATAACAACATAATTACTATAACCACCTTCCAGCCGCCTTTGCTGCCTAACATCCAGCATCCTTAAATTAAAGAAACATGGTAACTGCACCTTTCCCCTGCTCAATGAGTCCATGTACCCCTATTTGTCTCGTATCATTATTACAACAGCACCCCCTTGACATCCAGCCATGAATCATTATTATTGCACCACTCCTTGTCAGGAAGCCGATGTCAGTTATTTGAAGAATATTCATCATAACGTCCATGTGGTAACACAAGGCAAGTAAAAGACTATGGTCGTATCATATCCTGGCTGTCTCGACTCCAGTCTGTTCTTTATTGGAGTCGTGACAGGCATTTCATTCTTTACCTTAGGCAGCAAAATGTCATAAGACAGCACAAAAGAAGTTAAGTCCTTGCTCCTGCAGTAACTTTCATCAAATGTTTCCTGAGTATGTTTCCATATGCATGCAGTTCTGCCATTAGAATTAATACTTAAAGTGTGTTTACCATGGCATAGAGGAATAATGTACAACTTACTATGAACCTTCCAGCTACTATCAGTCTCATAGTGTTTAAACAGGATTTTTTTAGCGACATAGATGTGCAACACAGGAAAAGTAAAATTATGTTCTGTTGGTGCATTCTGAAGATAACGTTCAAGTCAACTTCAAACTCTGATGATTACATTTGTGATATTAAATATCCATGACTCATCCCAGTTACACATCTGTACGTGGCCCAGAGGAGTGAACCACACAACTTTATACGCAGCTCAGGATTAATCCTAAGTGAGCATTGCCTTGAAATTCACTATTTTGCACTTAGGAAGAACATTCTGCCATTAAAAATATACAAAAACCTTTTGGTGTAATTCAGTACTGCACTCTTTAAAAATTACAAAAATGTTTCTACTAGATAATAACCTGACAAAAGTGAAGCAAAAAATGTTTACAGCATACACAAGTACTGTAAACAAGAAATACAAAAACAGAACTAAAATACAAAAGATTTCCAATGACTGCAAAAATGTGCAAACAAACATATATGTAAGTTATTTTAATTTAATGTCAGGGCATGACAACTTCGCTCCAGTTGTCTCAGCTAGATATAAATGTTCATACCTGTATATGTGTTTAAACTTATGAGATTTTAAAATAACAATACAGGACTTTTATATTACTCCAACCTCTTAATGTTTATTCATTTTAATGTACTTACAAAGGAATTTATCTCCAGCTAGTTGATAAAAGTGACGACAGACCTGGGAAATCTGGGAAATATCTTTATGAGTCAGCAGGGAAAAGATACAAAGCCACAATTCATCAGGAAGCAGCAGCCATGGTGTGAGAATGCAGTCACTTTTCTAAAGCAAAACAAAACAAGAAAGCAATTGAATCCCAAAACAACAACAGTAACAAGCATGCAAGTCAGCCCAATACTGAAATAAATGAGACACATGTGAGCAAGGTAGTAGCAGATCAAGTTTATGATTTAATTTAAAATTGTTATTTTTGTATTTTGTTCTCATCTGAAAGATACCTGTAACTTTTTTTTCTTTTTAACAGACTGGATGCTTTAAAAATGTTGAATGCTTAAACTAAATTATCACTGCATTTTTAATAAAACGATTTCAAACAAAGAATTGGAAGAATATGGAACATAATTCCCATATATACACATGTAAGGTTCCGTGCCTGCTCATGACACTGATAGTCAACCACTACATGATTCATTTAACACAAAAGGTTAATTTTGTTTGCAATTTTAATTGGTAAAATCAAGCACGCTATCAGAAGTTAGAAAAATGTGTATAATCAAAGGCAATATAACCATTTCTTGTAAGTACCAGACCAAATTGTGACTGAGTAGTCCATGATTGATTGTGTTGTACAACTGCGAATAATCAAGTTAATTTAGTAAACTAAGACTTGGTTAAACATAGATTAGCATATTGTAGAAAGAGTCATAGTCATGACCTCCATTTTTTTCTATACTGTATTTTCATAAAATAGTTATAGAACACAAAACCATACAATAGAGAGCAATCATCATGAGAATGGCTACTTTTAAAAGATTATTTTAATTAAAAGATTTGAAGAGAAGAGGTCCAGCCTCAAGATGCACTGTATTTCCAACCATGCCACACTGGCATTCTTAGAAAATGAACTTGTGGCTGCAACCCATGGCTATTAGGAAGTGAATGTATATAGATAGTCCTCGATCTACAACTATAATGAAGCCTGCCTATGATGATGGCAAGTCACGACAGTCATAAAGGAGATCCCCATGTAACCAGACATGTTTTTGCTACCTTTTTTGTGGGGGGCATTAAACACATGCCATAGTCATAAAGTGAATGTTTTTTTTATGGGATGTTTTTTCTGAAAACCAGAAGTAAATGCTGATTTTCAGTAAAAATGTTATAAAACACATTTGATGGGATGCTGCAAACAGCCATAAATACAGGTCAGCTGCTTAGTGTCCAACATGCCATCATATAATTGTGGGGACAGAACCGTCAGAACTTCAAAACCATTGTTTGCACAACAATGGAAAAAAGAGATTCCTACAGATGAAAGTGCTATAAAAAAAATACTAGAACGTGCTGACACTTAAAAGAAAAAGAAGAAACAGAATGCTTTTTAACATGGGACTTATTTTACTAATGGTTAACTAATGGAACAGAGGTTAGAACCTAAAAAGACCAAAAAGATAAGATTTTTTTTAAAAAAAAAATTTATAGGATGGACAAACTAATTGTATTACTATTTTGTGATTAATACTGATATGTCTATTATGATTACTATTATGATTAATATATCTCTACTTAAAACTGACTGTGCCCAGACAACATGCTGTTCAGACAGATATGGAATTTTTTATTTGTATTTTTAAAAATGTGTCATGTGTTTGTGTATATGTATATATATATATTCGTTTGTTTTCTTAATATATTTGTTTTCATAGATTTTCACAGGTACAGGTATGCAGGTCTTGGCGTGTTCGGGTCTTTTCCCGTGTAAGATTGAGAGCATCTTGGCAACGTTTCGATAAGGTCCCACTTGCCATCTTCAGACTGGTGCTTTCGGCTTCGTGCTTGTACGAGCAAAGCGTGATCGGAGCTGCCATCTCCCTATATATACTGGTGGGGAGGTTGGCTGTGTTGTCATTTCTTGATTAGTTGATGGAGTTGATGTTTGTAGATTGGCTGGCTTTTTCATAAGAACATGTGTGGCTGAGGTATTGACTGTGTGACTATCAGCCTCCTGTGTTGTAATGACCTGGGTAATAGAATTCAGAAGGTCATCACACAGCCCATTACCCAGGTTGTTACAACACAGGAGGCTGATAGACACACAGCCAATACCTCAGCCACACATGTTCTTATGAAAAAGCCAGCCAATCTGCAAACATCAACTCTCATAACCATCATCGACTGTATCCCATACACCCAGAAAACTATTTTAAAATCAGCCAATTTCAAAAGTCCCTCTGGTGAAGGGAAAACACCAGTGTCCTTATGAACAAACCACAACTCCTGACTAACGGCCTGCAAGCTGGCTAAGTTTAAAGACTGCTTTGCAAAAAGGACAGGTGTGGGGCAGGTGTGTGTATGAGGAAATTGGGAAAAAAGTGGAAGAAATCAGCAGATACCAGAACACCACAACAAAGAAAAGCCAGCAGAAAGTGCTGGAAATTCCCTTATCATGGCCTATATAAGCATACTCTCCCACCTGTCTATGCTGCCTGATTTGGACCCAAATCATTTGTCAGGCACTAAATAGATCTGATTCCTCTATTGGAATTCTTCATGTAAAGAAAGTTAAGGGCCAGATCATCACAAGAAGTCACTGTCTGTTCGTGTGGCTGGGGCACCCTCCATGTCTGCTGATGTGAAGAATATTAATTCTCAAATTATTGCTGCCAATCCCATTCAATGTGTCCCTTGATTTCTATATTTTATGTTTGAGAAATTTTCTTTTGCATACTTGATTTGGACTGCTGACACTGTTTCATTTTCAATTCCTGACCTTGAATGCTTAAAGGGATGGGAAGAATAAACCGCAGCAGGTTTCCTACATTTTTGGGGTCCAATGTTTGCTGCTATTCATGAATCAGCTCTGTAACTACAAGGAACTTTGCCACAGTCCTTTTAAAAAATGCTTTTTGTATTGTGTCCAATTAGGGTTGTGCAGTTTCAAAAATAATTCTACAGTATTTCATACTTCTCATGAGCACAAAATTCTATTAAAACAGTCCATCTCTTTCACACTTCTGCACAAGTCTGAAAAAAAATATGGTGGCTTTAAAGAATTATATTAACTACAATAAGTGAGTTCCTTAAAATAACTTCTCACCCAGAAGGTTGGAAAAGATTTGATTTATAACCTTATCAAAGTTCTACTTCTAAACCTTAATTACATAAGGGTACACATACATTCTACAAATGCTTCTGGTGCTACTGTTGCAATATATAACTTAGAAGACAACATATGCTTACCATGTTTAATTTGTTATAACCCTGAGAAGCGTTTTCATACTGCAGCCTACATTGTGTCCCTAGAAAAGAAATATGAACTTTGAGTTTCCCAAATATGCAGTATTTGCCTCATTTTACCTTTCACGAGGAAGGAAGCTTTCCTACACATCCACATGTGCAGAATGCTCTACACTACTATGTGATTCCAGCTGCTGGAAGAAGTCCCTGGCTACAAACCTATGACATCATGCATTTTTACAGATTTCTGTGAGAATTTATACACAGAAAGAATATTTTGTTGCCCAGAAAATTTTCTCCAGAATAAACAATTTTAGAAAAATCGCATTTTTTAGAAAATTACAACCAAAGTCACATGGCTTATTCTAAAAGATGGGGACAGTAGCAAATTATTCTTCCATTTCTATGTAGAGGGGTGGCAAGCAGAATTTAGTTACTGTGAGAAAATGCTGTAATTCAGAAACCAAGGCACCAACTAAATGTTAAATTCTGCATGCTGTTGGTTAATGAAAAGAAGCACTGACTGGTTATACTGGGATACTCTGCCACAGGTCAACAGAAGCGAGTGTGAACACCTGGTTGACTGCCAACACTTTGCAAGAATGAAACATTGTCAAACAGAAAAGCTAGCAGCAAATGATGGTTTCAAACTGTGCTTTATTTTTCTCTAAAACAAATAGTTGATTCCCTCACTCTTTTAGCAAATGATGTTAATTAAAATGTTGATGAGCCATTGGGTCGAGTCCACCATAGTTTTAAGCAGATCCTCTGGGTATAGTTCCAATTTCAGAAACCAATTTTGTTATGAATAAATCAAGAACCAGTCTCTGATTACTAGGCTAGATGGATGGATAAATAATTTGTTTGCTTCTTTGTTTTTTAGAATACTTATATGACCATCCTACTCCAGTAACATGACAGCATACAAAATCACTATACAAAATACAAAAGGAGAACAGCCACTAAGTGGTACTAAAACAAAACAAAGCACTTAAATGGCAGAAACTAACATTTGTTGTATCCCATCAAATAGGAATTTTGATCGTCCTGACCTAAGCATCCACAGAAAAATCTAATTTGAATCATGAAGAAGCAATGATGTGCTATCTGTCATAGCAATATTTAATTCAAGCATCGGAATGAACTTTAGAAATGTCCTAGGGGTCACTGAAGGTGTAATACAAAGTTTTCTGTTTCAGTGAAGGTATATGAAAATTTCTCAGAGGAAAAAAAGGGTTAGTTTGCACACAAAGAGAGAGCTCAAGAATTGTCAAAGTCACGGACTTCCGGTTTGGGCTTCTTCGGTGACAGATCGAATCGTGATTGTCCACGGTTTTGATCCGTGCTCGCCACTGGAGCGCCCCGAGCCGCCCGGATTCGGGACTGAATCCACCCTGTAAAGGTGGTGAAGAAGGGGGAGCTGTCAGCGGGGTTGAGGAGAGCCGCATCTCTTCTCCTCGGCTGGCCATTACTCCCTTTCTCAAAGGCAGTTGCAGCGGTGGTCAGAAATGGCCACCTCAAAGAAGAACCCAACCGGACAAGATTGTGCAGGAGGACGTTTAAAGGAGAAAGTTTGACTGACCGGTTTGAATGGAGAACATCTATTTAAGATACCTGGAACCTGAATTTTAAAGACTAATACTATTTCTAAAAAAGATTTTAAGCTGCGAAAGAGAAAGGGAAAGGAAATGAAATTGACTTCTTTTCCTATAACATCAACAGTTTTAACTGACTTGAAACATTAAGAAGAAGAGATTCGAATAAGAAATTGATACTAATCCACTTTGACATTAATAGGCTATTTCTAGCTGAAATAAAGTGTCAAAGGGATAAAGATTCTTCGATAATTTAAAAACTTTCTTTAAAAAAAGAAAGCAGTGGAGGGAAAAAGGAAAAAAGAGGGTGGAATCTGGAAAATGGAGGAGACCACCTGGAACTTAAAAAAAAATTGCTAGTGGAATTTTAACAAGGTTGCAAAAGATACATTGTAGCTGAAACCTTGTTATAAGATAACAAAATCCCTGGAAAGAGAAAGTAAGAAAAGAAGCAAGAAACAGTTTTGGATTATTGGATGATTCCTGGAATTTTGGATGGAGGATCCTAATGAAATAAAACAAAATCAATTGGGGGTTGTTTAAAAAATTTTAAAATGGCATCACTCCTTGAAGAGTTAAAAATGAGACTTAAAGAACAAAAAGAAGAAGCACAAAATGGAAGAGGATCTTTTGGCTTCGTATTTCAATTTTTAGAAATGGAGATCTTGAACTATGAAAAACAATAAGAAACACTGGCAAAACAAGAAAGGCGGGACAATGAAGAAGCCATCTTTAATGACCAAGCAATTTTAAGCGGGGTAAAAAAGGGAAAGCAATGAAGCAACAACCAAAAAAAAAGAGTAATTTGAAAAGAAATCATAATATCAGGAAGAAGCAGAAGGGAGGACACAGAAGGGAGAATCAGATAGAAAAGGGAATAAAAAGGGGAGGGAGAAGAAGAGAGGGAAGGAAAAGAAGCTACAAAGGACAGAAACAAGTTATAAAGGTACAGGAAAAGTGTACAAGAATTAAAGGTATAAACCTATTTAAAAGACACAGAGACAATGGTTAAAATTTAACTTAAGGAGAGGATTCTGCAAGGGTGCATGGGATAGCATTGTTATATTAGAAATAGAAAAGGTTTGGAAAATATGTTAGATAATTAAAGTGATAGAAAAAAATTATATTGATGTGTAGTGGAATATTTGTTTGTAAAGAGAATAAGGCTCTCAATGATTTAAAAAGAACATTTAAAAAAAACTGAAAAGAAACATGGAAAAAATTTATCAGTTGACAAGATGAACTTGAATAAGAATAATAACTTTATTGACTGCTGTTAATAACCATTGTTTGGTTTTTTATTTAAAGACAGTAATAAGTAAAATATGAAATATAGATGATTAATGTGAAAAACAACTGATATTACTAGGTAATGTTTGCTAAAAGAAATAGAAATGTAAAAGATTATTATTAATATTAATGGCAGAGCTGTACTTGAATAGAATAATTATTTCATTTACTATTATTATACATATATACACAGATATATATACATTTATACTTTTTTCTTTTAAGAATTTAGTGTGTATTTTAAGGGAATGTACCAAGCAGAATTCAATTGAAAATAGGTACGTGTTATAAAATAGAGGTTAGAAAATGAATGTTATAACTGTAAAGATGTAACTTAAATTTTTAAATAAGACTTGAAAAAAGATACAAAGATGTTACACTCCAGTCTAGTAATTACAGGGGAAAATTTGAAAAGATAATATGAAATTGTAAACAGGACAGACAAAAGTATAAAAACATTGATTAGAAAGATTTTAAAAATTAGAAAAAGATATGTAATTGAATTAAGAAAGGAATGAGATAATTTAAAATAAGGCTATAGGAAGTAAAGAAAGGGAAAAGCTATTGAAAAAAATAGTTATAAGATATGGATTAGAATGTATAAAATAAATATGTATTGAATTTATGTCTGTATGGAGAAGTGATAACCCAGGGCCACGCTGTTCTCAAAAAAAGATATTTTATTTGTATTTATGTGTTTTGTGAAAACTTAAATAAAACTTTTATTAATAAAAAAAAGAATCATCAAAGTCATGAATGCACTGGTCTCTGGGCTGGTATTGGATAAAATACAAAAAGATCTGGAGATTTTCAAAAGATTCCAAAAAGGATGATATATACCTCTCACATTTCAAAATGGAGATTCATTTTATTCAACTGGTTCCCAGAGAGGTCGATTCTTGTTTTAATTAAAACAATCTGCACTGATCTATTCAACACAGATCACCCCATGACTGATAATTTTAGGGTCAATGGGTTCTTGCCACTCTCCTGAAGCAATGGGTTGGGAACAGAATATCCTGATCAAGGAATAGAAGGAAAAGTGAACAGAGTTTTTGACAACAAGGATGTCACCTCAAATTCTACAAACCTGAAGACGTTTGGTTCTGAGAGTTATAATTGTTCTTCCTCATTAACTTCTTGCCTGTTGCAGGTCTTCGGACACATCGTGATCTGCAGAGAAAAATAGTGCAACATTAATAAAAACAAGATGTTTTCAAGATATACAAGATGTTCTGCGGACCAATATTTAGAAACCATCCCCTTTCCTTCATGATTTGAACAAGGAAAAATATGCAGGTAGCACAGGCTAATGATTGGTACTGGACTACAGCACTCAAATTTCTTCTGCTTATGTAGCTTACTTTAGCTTGTGTTGTTTTGCCATTTTGAAGGGGAATAACCCAGCAGAGCTAATCCTCCTCCATATCTGAGCTGTTGTGATAAGTAAACAGATTGTTAGATTTGCTGAAGAATCCAACATAGGGCTAACCTGCGCATAAATAAAACAGATTACAATTTTCCCCAAATAATCAAAAGATGAAGAAATTTAAAAATCAGAATAAGCAATTAACTTTGTTTTGCTTTTGTGCCTTTGAGTCAATTTTAACTTCTGGTGACTGCCTGGACTAATTCCTGAAGTTTTCTTGGCAAGGTTTTTGCAAGTGGTTTGCCATTTCCTTCTTCCTAGGGCAGAATGTGACCAGACTTAGGTGACCCAGCTGGTTTGGGGCCTCAGGTGACTCCGGGTTTCTAGCCTAACATTTAGCCACTACACCAAACAGGTTAATTTTAGCCTTAGAAAATGCAAAGTTCACCATTCTCATGAAATTCATGCATTTTGGTGATACGCAGCCTATGCCAAGACCTATTGTTTTTATTTAGGTTATTATACTCAAGCATGCGTTTCAATGTTATTCCCTTTATGGTAAGCAAAACTGTGCAAACCACCGAAGAACGTAAAAAACACTGAGAAAAAGAAACTAGAGACAATAAAAAATAATCTAACTAAATCAACTTTATACTAATAAGATTTATCATACTTCTATGTACTTTCTACTCCTGCATCCTGTCATTGCTTTCATATATGAATACACTAAAGATATTACTAGAGAAATTTACACATGGGTGTAGAATATTACTTATACTAGACTCAATATAATCCATTTCAAATTAGTATTTCTTAATTAAATGGAAATAGTTGTGCAGGAAAAACATTAACAGAGGAAGCCCATATTCGCTTTAAAATAGTAGGACTGGAATATACTGGTATGATTGTAAAAGAACAGTCTTGATATCATGAGATATTTATAAAGTATAAAGCAATCTGCAGGGAACCATTATAAATTCTGGATTAAAAAAATGGAAAACCAGAGCACAGATGAGATATGCCTTTTGTAAATGCACTGCTTTGTTCACATCAATGTATTAAATATTAAATAAGCAAACCTTGGCTTCAGTTCTCTCTGTGTGTAAGATGAGCATAAAATGTTGGCTCTTTCCCAATGTTTCTTAGGATTAGCCTGTTTTGGGCTTGATTTCCTGCTTTCAAAAACTTCCTGGTCTATAAAAAAATGATCCACATAATATATTAGTTGCAGGCATAGTTAATTTCAACAAGCAGTTAAAGGAGCTCCAGGGAATGACATAAACATCTAAAACACATCCTTGGCATTCATAAGGCATATGATGCGTTCAAAATATAATGAGTCCAAAATCAGAAACAACAAATGGAATCTCATTGGATTTCCCAATTTAATTACACTTGGATATAAAGGGGAACTCTGAATATCAGCTGTAGAAATGTTGGTTTCAGTGGCCACAGAGGTGCTAGACCAAATTACAACTTCTCTGCACCTGCTTTCAGCTGAAGAGGAAGGAAGTTGCCAGCAATTAACAGAATATATGTATAAGAGAAGAATAAGCCTATTCCCAGAGGAATCACTGGAACTAATGTTTTTGTTAAAATGATGGTAGTGAAGTTGCATCATTGTGCTGAAAACATTGCCCTTAACTTATATGTATCTGACATCACACACAGCTACCTCCAGGAGTTTGCCCTGCTTCAGTAGTGCTTGCACTATTACAGCAGTCCAGGGGTGGGGTTCAAATGTCTTAAAATGCCTTCTGTGGGTGTGGCCTAATTTGTGGGTGTGGCTTGGTGGTCATGTGTCTGGATGGGTGTGGCTTGCTGCCTGGCATGGCTTGGTGGTCATGTGACTGGGTGGGCATGGCTTGTATGTAAATATTACAAATATTGATGTAAATATTGATTTTTTTATTAAAAAAGAGCAACTTTTACCTAAAAGCAGGCAAAGCAGGCAGGCAGATTGAGTTGCTCACAGAATTACAGATTCACTTAGAGATCTATTTACCTGCAATCGACTACTTGAGTCTGTCACATAAAATTTGCTTGCAAGCAAACTCAAAAAATTTGCTTGCAAGCAAACTCATAAAATTAACTCACAACACACCATGTATGTAAATATTGATTTTTTTAATTAAAAAGCAACTTTTACCCAAAAGCAGCCAAAGCAGGCAGGCAGATTGAGTTGCTCACAGAATAACAAATTCACTTAGAGATCTATCTATCTGCAATCAGCTACCTGAGTCTGCACTGAAAAGTAGAAGCTTCAGTTCTAAGGAAGGTTCAGCTCTGCTTTTAGATTAGCTAAAAAGCAAGAAAACCAAGGATTAGCTGCTTCCTAGCTAATCTAAATCTCCCAGCAGAGCAAAACAGCTGATGGTTGGGGGGGGGGAGGAAAAATAGCAACTTACCAAACCAGGCAAATTGGATGGCTCACATGCCAGGTAAGGAGTGAGTGGGCGGGGAGGGGAGGGGCCAGCCAGTGAAGTGATTTTCCAGTTCTCCGAACTGCGGACAATCATAAAATGCGTGTGTGCTGTGTTTGCAAGAAATCACCAGCTCTGCCGCCTGAACAGTTGACAAGCGCTTCACAGGGGTACACAGCAGTTGAAAATCCTCATTTCCTGCTTTTTCAACCTCAGCTGTGCTGCGCAAAGCAGCTGAGGAGAGGAAAGCAGGGAATAAAGGACAGCCTAGAGTCCAGGCAGGCAGGTGGGACAAACACGGAACTGGTTCAGTGTCAGCTGCTCTTCGCAGCTATCAATTCTATAGAACTGGGCCAAACCGGTTGCATCCCACCTCTGCCAATAGTCAGTGCCAATAACATCACTTCACCTTTGATTTACTAAAATACTATCAAGTGGATTATCCTTGTTGCTAGAACTAAACAATCCTACTTTATTTGGGAGCAATCTCTTTATGATTTATGTAAAATGTACTTTGGAAGTTTATCTAATTTGTTTGGAGCAATAAAACCAAGAGCATACATACCAGCTTCTTCCCAGCCTTAAATATATCAGTGCTCTACCAAGGACTGAACATATTGTGAGATCAGAACACAGAAAATACTTTGGATATATGAAAAGTCTCAAATGGAAAGTATGTTTATTTATAATTTCATGTATTTCTACGTCCATTCTGAAAAATACCAACAATTATTGGTAAATAATGAAAATGAATATAAAAATTAAGCTGGCTTTGGAGAAGGAAGTTACGAAGCAGTAACAAATGCATGGACAAGTTTTTAAACTGAGTAGCACCTTAACACTTCCTTTCTCTTCCAGAACTACATATTTTCAATATGAAAGAACCACTGCTATCACATACAATGATTGCTGGAGAAAGGATTTCTTTTTTATCACTCTCTCACCATAGCACATATTAGTTCAAAACTCTTATACCTTTGTAATGGCTAGCTCTCTTTCATTAGGGTGGTGGATAGGACATGAGGGAATCTAAAAGTTCCCAGCATCATTATTGCATCACACAGCACTCCGAAGGATATGTATAACCTGCAAGTTATTTTCCCCTCTCCTTAATACATGGAAGATAAATTTAAATTCTCCCTGAGTGCCTGACATAAACCCTACAATTAAGGTATTAAATATAAAATCCTATAAATCCTGTTGTTTTCAAAGGAATTTATGGCTGATACCCTTCCTGGATTATGTCATTTAACCTGAGCCACTGCCATACCATGGAGTCATAATTTTAAATTATCAATAAAGTAGGGTAAGAATAAAAGAACCTTTCTATTAAATATAGAAGCTTTCACTTATATGTTTGGGACAAAGTAACATGGGACAGCAACTAGATGTCCTCCAAACAGTTTTGATTTCACCTGCTAAGAAGCACAACCAGAATGGCTAATATAAGACATTCTGATGGTCTAAAACAAGTGTCAGTCAAACTCAAGGATGCGAGCCGGATCTGGGTGCTTAGATCTGGCCTGCAGGGCCACCCTGGAAACAGCAAAGGATCAGCCCACAATGCCTCTGCAGCAAAAACGGACCATGGTGGGGTGGGGTCTCTTGTGGCCTTCCCAAACTCCATTTTTGCTGGTAGAGAGTTGCAGGAGGCTGTTGCAGCTGAAAACAGAACTCAGAAACCTGTTTTCTCTAGCAGGGCACTAAGGTCACCACAGGCACCCCCAACACAAGTGATGTCAAGCTGGCCACACCTGGCCATGCCCTCCCCACCCGAGATAAAACACAACCCTGATGCGGCCCTCAGTGAAATTGAGTTTGACACTCCTGATCTAAAACATCAAATTTCCTACTCCTGCGTGATATTTAAAAATAGTTACACATCTCACTAACTAGAAAACAATCCAATTTTACCTTTAAAACTGCCTGTTCTCTCCATTTGTTTGGGGCTGCCATTTGCAAACTGAGGCTTCAACATCTGATCTTTGAAATGATTTTGCTGTTTGATGATCTCAGTCCTTTCCTTGCCTTCAGAAGTTCCCAGATCATGGTTCATATTTTCATCTGTCTGTTCCTCATACATGCTACCATTCTTACAGTAGCAGGGTCCAGTATCATAATAGGCTTCTTTGAAAAAACCATGTTCTTGACAAAAAAAGAACTGATGGGCATTTTCACAGCGAAATCTTTTGGACTCATTGAGATAGCTCAAATAAAAATAATATTTAGCCAAAACGCCATCACTATGGCTGAAATCTAATGGGATTGTATTGCTGCAAAATTTCTCATGACCATCCCACTTAATAGTTGCAGTGGGGAACTCTTTAGCACCATCTGCTGGTTGGAGACCAGTTGCAGAAATATTATCATTTATAGCACCTTGCTCATTTTTGGAGATGATACAAGGCTTATGTATTACCTGATCATCACTGATCTGGGATGGCCCAACTAGCAAAACACAGTCACTATTACTTTTATTCATGCCTTTAGGACTGGGATTCAAAGAGTCCGAGCCCTCTTTGTAAGTATTATTTTCTGAAGGCTTCAGTAATGAACTCACGGAACTGCTCTTAATTTCCAATGGATAGTCCAACGGAGATGTTAATTCTGTATCTTTTGGATATGTAGCTTTCTTAAAATTGAAATCCTGTTCTCCGATATATTTCCTCCCTTTAAAAATCTTGTCCATTTCCAGCATTTGCTGTAATTTAGATTCATTTCTCTGGTCTGAGGCTCTCTCTAGTGGTTGAATATCTGACATCTGATCCCTCAACATATCTTCTTGTACTGTAAATTTAGAAAGAAAATTGATATTTCCCTTTTTAGACTCTTCATGGTTGCTTTTTATGGAATTTTGTGTTCCACTAAAATCTTCATATTTTGGGGTCTGTGTAAAATTCTTGCATTTATATTCTTGAATTTGCAAGGTTTCTATTCCTAGATTCCATTTTTCACAACTGTCAGGCATTATTTTGAAGACAAATTCCTCTTCCAGCATTGGCGAACTGAAATATTTCATAATGGTTGGATTGTCAAAGTTAGCACTATCACCAAGGTTTTTATAATTTTTGCTGTCCATACTTGGCCACTTTAAATTATTTTTTGTCCTATTTGTCCATTCTTCATCTGAACTGAGTGGAGCCCAAAAATAGTTTTCATTGTTATACTTGGTTGCCTGGATAGAATCTGAAATTATGTTTGCAGGACGTAATGTATTATTATTTACCAATGTCCCAGGAGTTTCTTGTTCAAAATTCTCTGAATTATTTACAAAGGCTACAGAACTGTTAAAAATATTTGCATGTAATAGCTTTGGATCAAAAGTGTCAGGCTTTTTATCTTTGCCCCTGTTATTTTGAACCATCTTTTTAAATATGCAGTGATCTAAGACAGATTGATGACTATCCCCAATGGAAGACTGATCAAGAAACAATTCTGTCCAATTTACATCTTTGAGTTTTTGAATCTCGGGGATGCTACGTTCCCTATGTAGTTCATTATCTAATTTTGAAATACATTTATTCCTTAAGCATTTTCTTTCTGCAAGTCCAGCTGTAGCTCTTGCTATTTCTTCATTTCTTAGAGAGGTCACTTCAGAGAGCTTCCAAATGGTTGAATGCTTGTTTCCATTTACTGTTTTGCTAGGTTCGTCAAAGCCCATCTTACTAGTAGTTGTAAAATTTAGCGAACAACTTCTAGACTGTATGGAATTGTTATTATCTGCCGAATAAGGCATTTTTTTCTCCATAGCAAGTTATAGGAGTAAATGGTACAGAGATTTCATGAACAGTATCAGCAACAGATAGGTGTAGTACTTTCTGAGATAGATATTCCATCTGTAAAAATAAAAAGTGCATATGAAAGTTGTTTTATCTGAAAATGAAAACTACTCTGAGCCTAAAGAGCTAAACATTGGAGGTCTCAAATCTTGTCTCCCATAAATCCTTTCAATTTACATATCCTGGCCTAACTTATTTAACTTAATTTAACTTAATTTATTATTTTAGGTAGTCATATGTACAACATTTCAGAAACAAAAAAAAATAGTGCTGCTAAATCCACAAATAGTACTTAAAGGAATCTGCTATAAAAAAAACTTCAAAGGAGAAGATAATCTTGTGATATATCACAAGTTGAACTGCTGGTTGGAGATCGCAAGAGGAATCAAATATACAACAGCTGAGCTTGCATAGTTCCTTTTCAATTCAGCTTTTACTTGGACTTACTTTTTGGCTTTCTGGAAATTCCAAGCTAAATTCAGTAGCTTAAGAAAAATTTCAACTTTCTGCTTCCCTTCATTCACAAAATAGCATACGTGTTCTTCTCCCGTAGAAATATTTCCTGCCATCTCATGCAAAGATAAGCAATTCGTTTCCCCAGGAGTGAAGAAGTTGAGGATTTCACTTAGTGCTGTACATGACAAACTACAAGTCACCTCAATGTTGGCAGAAACTGACAGAATGCCTGCCATTTGCATCACTCAGAATCCAAGCGGGAGATAAATGACAAAACATGTCACACTGTGATGTAAACTTCACTGATTTTATACTTATGTTGTGACATTGCACACAAATACCTAAGGGTCACCGTTTGTGTTGTAATGTCAGGATACACATTTTGTTTGTTGAAGAAACCTCCAGATGCTGCAGACTCCTATGGCTGAGAAGTCCATTAATATGAGACTGAGGTTTTACTTGCACATTCACAGCAGGTACTGATACTGATATTTCACACAATTATATTCAGTTCAAACTAATAAGGCTGTACCTCTCAGAAGTTAAAATAGCAGAATTATAATCTCTGCAAAATACTATAAATCTTCATGTTGTTTACATAAAACAATGAACTTCATCTTCCTGAACCAATGGACACATATGGAATAAATATTTTCAAAGCTCTTACAAAATAATGCAAACAGATGTGGCCAGTTATGCATTTTGAAAAAATGGGATGGAGCAACTTAGCAGCAAACTGTAGTAAAGTCTTCAAAAATCATTCAAAATAATTTAGCCAACAAGTGCAGGACACAGATTTCCAGTCACACAAAGTTGCTGAAACAAAGCACAACAAAATATAAAATTTTAAATTGTTCAGTTTTTTAGAGAAGCAGGAGTAATAAATGAGTAAGCAATAGCCAAGCTGATTAAGGATTAAAAGAGCAAAATTCTAGCTAGAAGCATCTATAAGAGAACAAATAAAATAAAGACGGCAGTCACACCTGTGTGATTAAAACTTCAAGATTTTGTGTGTGTGACGCATCTGACTGAATCAACAGAACACCCTGTTGTCACACATGAAATCAATTTGTCATCATTTAACAAGACAGAACCAGTGGTATCTGAACAAGACCTGATAACACAAAAATGACAAGCATATGGCGATATCATGATGCAAATAATGAACTTCTATACATGTACCCTTGTCTTCCTTTCTGCTTTTCCACAGCAGCTGTAGAAGCAGAATAGGGATAAGCAGCAAAAAAGGCACACTTTCTGCCCTGTTCTCTTGTCAGCTCCCATATGGAATGATAGTTTTGGAGGTTGAAGAATTCAGGATGCAAATATGAATATTCCTGAGACCAGGATCCTGACTTGAGAAATAAGTAGATTTTAAAACTATTGATTCGGGACAGAACATAAAACATACTAACTCTAACTTTGCCAATTTTAAGTCTCCATTTTACATCAGGGAGAAAACATCTTACGAAGCACCCAAATCTTATTTCTCAGAATCACAGAGTGTGATAACACAGTATTCTTATGCCATGCCAGCTCCTTCTAATTTACCAGAAAAAGGGCCAAGACTTGAGGTATCAGTTTGATATAGAGCCAGTCAAGTGGTTAAAATACCTAGCTAGAAAGCAGGAGACCATGAGTTCAAGTCTTGCCTTAGCCAGTTTGGGTGGTTTGGGGCCAGTCTCTCCCTCTCAGCCTAACCCACCAGACAGGGTTGTTGTTGTGAGGAAAATAGGATTAGGTGTTGGATGTGAGTTTTTTTTGAAGGGTATACATAAAATAAATGTCTCTCTAGAATTCTTTATGCAGGACTTGGGAAGGGGAAAGAATTTCATTCATTCGGAATAACAAGATGGAAGGGATCTTACAGGTCATCTAGTCTAACCCCCGCCCATACCATTTCTGACAGATAACATTTGGCAGCCTAGTTCGGATTTCGGACCGACAACCTCTACAAACCTCTCTCTCCAACCACGAGCCTGGACTACGGGTAGTAAAACCCACCTCCTCCATTGCTACGTAGCATCCTCCTAACCCAGTTCCGAAAGGAAGGAAACTGCGAGCCTCCCTTGCGCGGCAGCGGGCAAAGTTTTGCTTGCGCGGCTGGATTGCAGTTTTCGCTGGGCCCTCAAGAAAATTATAGATTTGGCCGACCTCTCTCTCTCTCTCTCCCCCTTTGGAAGAAAAGAGTAAAGAAGAGGCGCCAAAGATGAAGGCGCCGCTGGGAAGTTCTCCTTTAACACCAGCGGTGGGAAATGTGTACTCCGGCCATCCCCGTGGCAACCGAGGGTGGAGCCAGCTGCTGAGGGAAAAGGGTGGAGATGCCGGCTCCGTTCTCCGCTGCTGAGAGTGTCTGAACCGGGTCTCCTTCGCGTATATTTTCACGTTTTTCCTCGTCCTCTTTCTCCTCCGAACCCGGGCCCTGGAAATCCAATCCCTGAGCCCGCCAAATGACCCAGATTGGTGGTTGTAATTCAACACCACATTAACCAGTCCCGATATATCTGACTTTATCCTAAGGACAACGATAAACGTATCAGATGATTTTGTGAGCGTGCGTTTCAATGGGCTTTCCACCGTCCTGCGTTATCTCCTTATCCTACTCCAAGGTTAACTTCAGACCAACAATCAAGTAAGCAATACCCCAGTCAAGAAACTGCCAAGGAGCCATCAATAATTAGCCCAACCGAAGAATCTCTAAGACCGCCCTTACCCATACAGGAAAGACACCAGAATATAAACTGACAGCAAAAGCTCATTCCTTAACAGCACAGATGATGTTACCTAATTAGGGTAATGAAACGTTTGCAAGAAAAAAAGCAGAGAGGACCAAGGACACCTCTTCCCCGCTTATCCTTTTTCAACTCCTAGAAACTTTCTTCAAAATAAATGGGCTCTGGGAACAAACAAACCTTTCTTTCCGTGAGCACACAGTTGCACTAGGGGGCGCTGTCGGATTCAGAGAGCGAGTGGTGGGGACAACGACCTTTTTCTGACCGCGGGAAAGTTCAGAAGGAATTGCGCTGCGTTCTCCCTCGTCGCGCCTCCTGCGCAAGCTTGGCTCCGAATGGCGGAACGCACGCAATTTGCGCAGAGAAGCTTCCCTGCACCTGCAGCTTTAGAGTTGGAAACCCAAGAAGGAGCACGATCCCATGCAAGATTGGGATTTGATTCCCGTTTCCCTCCGTTGACTCGTTGCTGCCTTAGAATGATAATGACATAAATGCCATTTGGAGATGTGGGGGGTGTGAATGATTGGACTTTTATTGATTAAAAGTAGGTTGTATCAACTGTCATCAGATAAATTTAGTGCCAGGTGCCAAGCTATATAAAAGTGTGGGGATGTGGCCTCCTGGCTATGAAGAAAAGATCAGCAAAGCGGACATTCTAGGTTTCTGTTATGTCTTTGGGACTGGTTGGAGTCCCCAACCAGGTCCGCTGTTTGAGCGGGAGCACCAGCCGCTCCCATTGGCTGACACCGTTTGACAGCCGGCTATAAAAGGGGGCTGTCGAGCAGTGTCAGCCTCGTTGCCGCCAGCTAACCTGCCAAGTTAGAAGGCGGACGCGGCAACCCTTTATTCTTGGAATAAAGCCTTTAACGTTCACTCTGGCTCAGCCTCGTTCCTCCGCCGCTCTACAACAGTTTCCTTTATTATTTACTAAAATTAAGCCAAAATGAGGAAGGGAAGTTGAGGTGTGGAAACCTTGAACAGTTGTTTAATTAGCTCATCCTAAAGGCACTACTGTTTCCTGTCCTCTCCAAACAAAAGAATCTTGCAAGTAAAACAAACACTTCATTCTCCTGTCCTCTTAATGGAAGCAAAAATATTTCTGCCATAATGTGGCTTTGCCTTTATTTCCAATTAAAATTCCCTTCTGTTGTCCTGCTTACTCTGAAACTGCCTCTTTACAACGTTTATCAAGTTTCTTTTTATACTTCAGTGTTGTCAACTATTTAAAAAACCTCTTTAACAGACCTTTGATTTCTTCAGTAAGCTTGCTTTTGACTTCTACAAAAGTTTAAATACTGTTTTAATGTCCCACTAGTGTTTATTATAAACTGCTTAATGTTTGTTAGATTCATAATATAGAAATATTCTTAAACAGAGCTAGTCCTTCCTTTTGCTTTCCAAATAAATTGCATTACCAATCAGTTGGCTAGGAATACTTACATTGTTGTCCTGGAAAATACTAGGCTGCAGAAAAGTGACATCCTTTGAACAAGATGCTTTTTACATTCATAAGTGTCCAGTATGTCACATTTGTCATGATGCCATCACATAAATTGCACATTATGTGTACAGGTAGTCCAGAACTGACAACCACAACTGAGTTTTAAAATTTCTGTTGTTAAGTGAGGCATTTGTTAAGTGAGTTTTGCCCCATTTTATGACCTTTCTTGCCAAAGTTATTAAGTGAATCACTGCAGTTGATAAGTTAGTAACCTGGTTGTTAAGTGAATCTGGCTTCCCCATTAACTTTGCTTATCAAAAGGTGATCACATGATCTTGGACACAGCAAGTCATACATATGAACCAGTTGCCAAGCAACTGAATTTTGACCATATGATCATGAGGATGCTGCAAAGTCATAACTGTGAAAAATGGTTGTAAGTCACATTTTTCAGTGCCATAGCAACTGAACAGTCACTAAATGAACTGGTGTAAGTCGAGGACTATATATGTAAACCATAAAACCATTATAATACAAGTTATATCACTTACTACCTTTTCACTCTCATAAGTACATCGGATATAAAGATTATGTCACTGATTTGTACCGGTATTTCCCAACTAGATAAGAATTCCAATGTGATATGTTTAAAGTGTTGAACAAGGCTGGAGTGACCCAAGTTCAAATCTTACCTAGTTCTGGTAGATTCCAGCATTGGAACTTCACTGGATTATCTAAGACTACTCAGTATATCTCAGTCCACACTTCATCACAGGCTCATTGTTGTGGACAAAAGTGTCATACATGTAACACTTATCAACCCCAATTGTGAATATCAACTCTGTTGCTACATGATTCAGTCATAATGGGAAACATGAAGGGGCCATGCCTGACTTATAACATCTGTTCATCAGTTCTAGCCATGGTTGTTAAATCAGTCTATGTGGGTCATTAAGTGTGATATCATGTGACTGTGGGATACTGATTGTTGTAAATACATCCCAAACTGTGATCATGAGATGCTAGAAATTGGGCTGCATTGACCAGAACTCTGAGGACCAATTATAAGTCTTCTTTTTCAGCAATATCATATTTAACTATATTTAAGCAGGAGACTATCAGGCCATGGAGGCTTTTTTCAATATATTTTTATTAGGGAGTCTTATCATTACATTAACATATAAAACAATCAGGATGTGGACATAGAAATGTTAAATTCACTTTACAAAGATAAGGCTCAAGTTTACAGGTACATTTCCCACCCTACCCATGCCAGGAATTCTTGCCCATTTGCATTTCAGAGAAATAATCCCTATTTAATTCTTCCCAGAGTTTGTTTATAAATATTAAACAAATCACAAAATATATGTCAAGTACAGTTCTACAATATAGTCTAAGCACAAACAGAAATACACAATACTGCACCTACGAACTCTTCATATGCCATCTCTGTCACTTCCAGTTCTGCAGACAAGACTCTTCTGGTTTATGTACATATTCTTCAGTCTTTTCTCATTTCTCTGTCTAGAATCTAGAAAAAAGCCCTCACAATTTGATTGATATATCTCTATCCCTTCATGTACATGCACGTGCCATTCACTGTATACATATCCTTATTGCACAGTTTATTCTCTGAGGTAATTAGTTCCTCAAACAATTCAACCTTTCCCAGATCAAATGAACTAGTACTAATAAAGGTGTTTAATGATTTTGGAGCAATAGTACATGGACAAGACTACATTTTAGAATCCAGAATCTATCATTAAAGAGCTTGGTATTTTATAAATACCCAGCAGACCAAGACAAGGGTTTGGATTTATTGCTATTATAATATTTGCAATATCTATATAGTCTACTTTTATAACTATGTATCTCTAAGATTACTGTCATTTTGGTTTTGGAAAACAACAATAGATGCTTCCTGACTGGGTTCTTGATTCAGCACAAAGTTGCAAAAAGGATTAAATATGCACCAAATAATATTTTTTGCAATGGAGTAATTAAGGAAAGGAAGAGCTCAAAAACAGATTAAAGATAAAATGGTTTCAGTCACAAAACATTTCATATATTTACTTATAATTGAAAAGATTGCCCTAAAAAACCTTTTAAATTTATTTTTTAGATGATGTAATACATGCAAGGGAAATTACCCAAGCTTTTCAACTAGTCAATTATATATATATAAAAAAAAGAAATCTAGTTTAAAACTTGTGCACTTAGCAATTGTGAGAACTCCAGAATATAAACTTTTTAAAATCAGGAGCTCATAATTTCTTCTACAATGCATACTTCTTTTTAATACAAATTACAAACACAATCTGATTTTTAATTAAGCACATGGGAATTACATGGGAATTAGTTAGAAAGGTTTATATATTAGAAGGTAGATGAAATATGGATTAGGTTTGTTGCACTATTTTTAATAGGAAATGTAAATAAAAAAATATTTTAAAAGTTTTAAACTGAGTTTAAAATGTACTTTAAGTACTCCATACATTTACTTGATTATTTAAAAAAAATTATTAATTTGTAGTAATAGATAGCAATTCTAAAACTTTAATAGAACAAGAAACAAAAGGCTGTAATCTTATTCTCATTAATCTAGAACTAGGATCTAAACATATTTCAAAGGAAACAAGTATAGGACTCAGGGTAAACATCCTATTACTGGTGTAGTTAGGAAAGGGAAACAGTGAATTTTGTTTTATGAAATCCAGATTGGCTATTCGGTTTAGTTCTTCTGCTTCTACTTCCTTACATTTGAAAATTGGGCATGTGGAAATGTTGGTCTTCTCTAAATACACAAGATTTTAGTCACATCCTCTAAAAAGAGTTTGGAGTTACACAGGCACAAAATCTCCATCAAGACAACAAAGATAACAACACACCACTGTCAAAAGAACACTTTTTATAAATAAATCATGTGCATCCATTGTTTACATCTGGTAAGAAAGCATGCTTAAAAATAATGCATGGAATTGAAACTCCGAGATTTATATAATGAAAAATAATGAATATAATCAGAAACTAACTTTTTTCAGGTGTCTGAAATTCACAGAAGTTTTTCACAGAAACTTCCTCTATCTTTGGAAACAGGTTAATTTTTTAAATTGTTATGTATTTTAGTAAGCTTAGCTTTATCTTTTTTTAAAAAAAATTACCATTTCTCTGTAACTTACAATCATGTACATGAAAACAAAATCTCTAAATCTCCTGCAAAACTACACTTCCACTACTTTTCAAAGAACTTTCATGAGTGTATCAAAGTAAAATCCAAATTGCCATCTTGAGAAAATTATATCCCACTCTTTAGTTTCAGAACAACTTCTGTAATGTGATACTATACATTATACTGATCATGTATCTGCTTCTTAATATTAACAGGGATATGAAGAATATGCAGGACAGGTTCAACAGATAGGAAATAATTCATAATCATTTCTGCATCCACTGATTCTTTTCTGCAAATACCCTTCCAACTATCCTATTCTGATTGTGCATACAGAAAAAAAGCAATGTACAAAGAAAGGAGTAAGTATCTTCTCCTCTCATGGAAGTAACTCTCATGGTTAACCTGATTTGTCCTAATGTGTAGTTCCTCTTAAACTTGTTAATTGAAAAATTAGTCTTTCACTGCCATATATCAGACATATTTATCTTGCATTCCAATTATTCATCTTGTGCATATCTTGAAGAATATTAGTGTTTTTTTAAAAAAATGCTAAAATGTTTTAAAAATTCATGATATGTCCTTGTGCATTTATTCATCTGTACATTTAAATATTTTCAGAAATTGCATTTGCTAAAAATTTACCAAAATTTGTAAAGACATAAAAATATTTTTAAATGAAAAAATCAAACAAACAAAATTATAATAAAACCCGAGCAATATAGGCATTGGTTAGTAGATATTGTTTTACTAAGGAATATATTCAAACACATCCTCTTTTCTATTTGTAGTTAATGCTTAAAATTAGGACATCGTAGCTTGATATGATAGAAATGATAGTTTCTCTTCAGTAATTACTGATATAAACAGGAAAGAAAATAAAAAAGACTGCTTTTTGGTTACTTAAAGGCCACTACTACATCAATTATTCAATTATGAAAAGTAAATGTAAGAATTTTGAATTTATTGTCTATCAAAATAAAGAACCAATTGAAGATAACCTGCAGGATGTTTATGAGCACCTAAATACTGACTAAAATTCACTAGTTTTGAATATAGCCCTTAGTTTTGCACATTTTTTTATGTTTAAGAGCTGCCAAACAAATGGCTAATGAAGTCTACTTTGCAGGCTATCCACTGTCTGAGAGGACAGTAATATTCAATGTGAAACTGCTGAAATTCTGGTGTTTGGCGGATTTCATGGAGGAAGGAGATGTCAAGATCTGATTCCAAAAGGACAAGTAGTAGAGGGAAAACCACAAGCAACACCCCAAGCCCAACAAAAAGAAGTCTGGAAAAACTCTTCACAGCAGAGTTTATTTTCAAGTTACCCATCAAAAAGTCATAGCTCCACCGAAGTGCTTTTCGAGCTTCCTTCAACTCTTCCTCCTCTGCAACCAAAAATGCATTTTCATCCGCCTCCAGTTCCTCAAATGAATCTGTATCTTCTTTCCCATTTTCTACCCTTGGGGAAGTTTGAAAGAGAAGATCTATCTCCTCATCATTAACAGGAGTTGGGAGCAAGCTGGTACTTGGATTGTACATCAATTCTGAAATTGTTAAAGGCTCCTCTTTGATTTTCTCACCCTCCTCAACCGAAAGATCTGAACCATCATCTGTTTCTTTAGTAGGAGAGCTTGATATCACAGGGAGTGAAATATCATCTTCCTTTGGCAGCTGGATTCCTGTAAAATAACACTTTTAGATTCTCAAACTTACATTTCAAGGAGATAAAACTATAGACAAAACAACTGTTTGCAATTTAATCATTAACTGATTTATATTAAGTGAAGGGGAATTCTTCACAGTTCAGCAAGTTAAATATAACTTGATACTATTATTCATTTTACTAAAAAAAAATCCACGTTTTTTAAAAAATAAAAATCTGCATTTTGTGCACCTGAAATGAAAATCTTCAGTTATTTCATTCTCATCAGTTCATAGAACTATATTCCATGATTCTGAAACCATGATACTGTATTGCATTATCGGACACATGTATATGTTTGCAGAAGGATGCATCATAATCTATTATCTATTAATAGATTATCGATAGCAGTAAATGAGAAAATACAGCTTGATGAGAAATAGTGGTAATCATGTGATTCTATTTCTCAAGATACAATATTAATCAATATTAGAAGGATGTCATAAGTGGCAAAATGCATAATAGTATGTAAGACAGTTTGATTAAATGAACTAACTGTTGGAAAAGGTTATTCATTACTCCTAATATGATTAAATTACAAATTGCATCATTTGTATCATCTTTGTTTTATGCTGCTAATATATAAATCATGCAGATGATAGTATAATTTGAATCAATTTGTGTAAACAGCAGTGTGCAAATAGCATAAATCAGAGCAAATGAATACAAAGTGATTATTCATATACATTTGTATCTAATGATAATCTGTGAAATTGATGTTTTCCTGCCTTAATATTTATGCTTATGCCATTTAGCTTCAAAGTTAGCAGACTTTGAAAACTTTAAAGAGGTCTCTGAGTAAATGTGCAATAAAGACTATTTTTTTCTACAGTCTTCTAAAATTATACAACTCCATATAGAGTCCAGTTTTATTTAATTACTTTTTTATGTAGGCAAACTGAAATGAGGTTTATTTTTCAATGCAAAGAACAGATAGGAATGAATATAAGCCTAAACTTAGAATTTAAAGATACTGTGCACATGAAACTTTCCTAATTCTATCTCCATAGCAAAAATCTTTTAAAGTAATTTGGGCTAAGAAACAGCAACAGACTCAATGAGTTCAGTGATCAGATGTATTTATTTATTCAAGATATCAGCAATATCCACACATATGACAATCTGTTTTTAATTTAGTATTTATTTTCCCTTGAATATCAGTTGTAAGACTGTTCACCCTGGATTAGATTTAGCTTGATTTTTGTACATCTATTCAAAATAAACTAACACTGCATTTAATTCAACCAATTATGGCTTTAAAATCTGCTTTAATTGTTGTAACCCTAGATCATTCTGTTATCTTCCTCATTGATAGTATCAAGCTTCTAAAAGAAATGGTAGGATATTTACTTCAGGGCTGAAACAGGCAATAACCTCCTCTGACACTTGAATCATTAGCAGCACTGTTTGTGGATCCTGCCACATATAATATGACATTAATTCTCATTTCTTCATGTTAAGATTCATAACACAAAGTGTCACTGGAATTAAAGAGCTTGGAAGAGGGCTTAACACTATTTATTTACTTAGACCTTTTAATTATTTCAAATTTGATTTTTTTTTAAAATGTTATATGCTTTCAATGAATGTTAAGGTTTGTGTTAATTCTGTTTGTTACTTTAATTGCATTTTTCTAAGCCATTCTGGCTCATATAAAAAATACAATCAATCAAAGTCAAGACAAGAGAGAAAAACAACAGCCTGGGGAAAAATTGAAGCTTCATGTGAAAAGAGAACATTTTCACTATTTGAAAGTGATAGAAAATGATTCACAAAAATGTGTTTCATATAAAATAAAACAAGTGCTACAACAAACCATTTTGCAAATACAATTTACAACACAGGATGAGAAACTGTTAACAATCAAATAGAACAAATAGTAAAGCTGCAGACCTCATACACTTACACTTCCCGTTAAATATTTGCAAGCTCACACAGTATCTGATTTACTGTATGAAATAAATTAACTAGTTTTTACGTAGATTATTCTGATTTAAAGCAGTCAGTTATTTACTGAATCAATACTCCTGATATTGGGGGCATATCTGTCATGGACTATCAGGATAGGAAAATAATCAATACACATCTACCAGCTCTGCCTTGGAAAATGAAAATTTACTTCAAATACTCTCTTGATAACCTCAACTGAATCTGATCCTAACATATAGCAAGAAGAAATAGGAAAAGTTCCAGTTTTATAGTCAGTAGAATCTTTTAGAATAGGTTGTATAATTGTAGAATGAATGGAAACATTATATACTAATGGGGGGGAATCTAAAATTATTTTCAGTCACTGCATGTTACCTATATTAATTAAAAAATAAGAGACGGTATAATGTTGTTTCAATATCTTCAAAAAGTATCTTTTAATTTAATAAGAATGGAGAACTAATAGTTTTAAAATTTTAATCTCAAGTGATATAACCACACATTTTACTATCTATCCTAAATTCAGATTAAGTAATATTCCTACAGTTTTTAGTAGCTATTTCTAAACTGTTAACATTAATTAAGATTAGACATATGACCCTTATAAAAGCATGAATTATGATTGTGTCAGATCTAGTATTTAGTTTTCAGTTGATCAGTTTTATTCTTTATTACTTCATACTTGAAAACGTGTGTGAATATGTATTGCATAGAATTTGATAAAATAGAAAATTGGGCAGCTTATTGCCTACTGGAGAGAGCTACGTTTTAAAAGATTATATCAGAATGTTTTCTCATGTTACGTTCATTGCCACCATACAAAATTGACTTTTTCTTTTACTTTAGCTATGTCACCACAATAATGGTGATGGTGATGATGATGGTGGTGGTAATGATGATGATAAAGACAAAAGATTAAAAGTATAGTGCATACAGAGCACATTAATACAACATAGTACAAAATTAAAATGGAACAAGGCTGCTTTTTCAGTATGGACATGATTTTAAAACATAATGTAAATTCATTTAAATCGCATTTTCATCACATACAAATATGGAGGACAAAAGCTCAAAATGCTTTCAAAGGGCTCTTTAATAAAGTTTAGTAAAAATGGTCTCAAAATGGCTGCAGTCCTAAATTTAATTTCTCTGCATGCACATGCTCACAGAAAATTTTGCATACATACATACATACCCATCACGCTATTCTCTTTTGGGTTAAGCAATGTTTTGAAAAATCCAGAAAAAGAATAAGAGATAGTAAGCAAAATAAATTATATAGAGATAAGAGGAAAATAAAGGAATCTGATTTATATCATTATCATTCATTATACTTCATATTTTTCTTATCCCAGCAAACCATCCTTACATCCACAATGTCCATGCATTGCATCATACACTACCTTTATTTTTTATACTGTAATATCTCACCTCTGTATTTTTTAAAGATTTCATCAATTCCATCTATTAAGGGTTTTCCTCTCAACCCAGTCATCTCTAATATATTTCTTTTGGAATTCAATCCTCATTCATTCTATCTACAGCATAGGTGTCAAACTCGCAATGTCATATTGCCGTCATGTGATGTTATCATGACATTTTCTCCCTTCGTGGAGCTGGGGTGGCACGTGACACATCCAGCCCACAGGCCGCCAATTTGACACCCCTGATGTACAGGACCAAAACTTCTCAAAATATTTCCTTCAAAATGGTGATTCACCATTCAGCATGTGTTTATATTTTACCCTATTCTTGTTTTATAATACTTACAACACTTAAGTTACTTGTTGCTACTGAATATAATTTACTTTTATATTTCTTTTAACATACTTTCTTATTTACATAGAACAAATTGTACTGTTTTAACTTCTTTTGTCATTTGTTCTGCACGACGTATTTTTTACTATTGCTCTTACTTTTTTACTGCCTTAATTCTTTCGCCATCTTTAGTAAACTATCTGCCAAGATACATGTTCATCCATGTATCCTATTGCTCTTTTTTTCTATGCGCAACTTTAATTCACTTAATTTTGTTCAGCTACCTAGCCTTTGATATATTAAGTTTCAGGTCCATTACTTTGGTTCTCTTTAGCTAACATTTACAGCATGTCACCAGCTGCATTAAAATAGCAAAAGCACCTAAACTTATACACCACTTTACAACACTGTACATCCCTCTCTAAGTGATTTACAGAGTCGGCATATTGCCCCTAACTACAATCTAGGTCCTCATTTTATCGACCTCAGAAGGATGGAAAGCTGAGTCAAACTTGAGCTGGTGAGATTTGAACTGCCAAACTGCTGGCTGCAGTACCACAGTCTAATCACTGCACCACCATGGCTCAAATGCTATTCATGTTTCCATTCAACATATGTCTACTATCATAAACATTTATTATACATTTAAATATAAATGGATTGAATAATCAAAAGAATATTATACATTTTGCCTTATTCATTATTCAATGTTGAACCATTCACTAGTGTTTCATTTATTCTCGTATTTGTTTTACTTCCACCATTTACTGTTCTTATCATATACATCAACCAATATTCAGTTCAATATTTCTGCAAGATATCTCATAATTCTAGGCTGCTGACTTCATCATAAGTTTTTCTCAATCAACAAAATTCTGTAAGCTTTCTCACTATGCGTACATTTTTCAATATTTTGTTAAATTGCATAAATCAATCTTCACATCTTATTCCAGGCATAAAGCCTCATTGCCCTTCACAAACTTTGGGGAGTGGGGGACTCAGTGTATCAAGGTAGTTTGTAAACAAGATCATTGAGCATAAGTATTGCTAATAATGTTGAAGCTGAAATCTTACATCACTATGTCACACATATTAATAAGGTAATTTTATGAAAGTAGTACACCGTGTGCCAGATCTTGATGCGATAAGTCTCACCCACCTTATTTCCGTATTAGTATATTGTAGTGAAATAAATGGGATGTTACCACAGAGAAGTAGCTCTCAAGTAATTAGGTGTATGCCATAAAACTTGACAATCAAGATTCTAAAAAGAGGGAGTTTCTAAAAGAA